TATGATTTTTAATAGACGATATTCTTCGTTGATTGTGGAATTCATTCGTTGAAACGAGCTAAGTATTTGGTTAACCAAATTGGTGGCTTGCAGGATTCGAACACCGGTTACGTCCCAGCGTTCGATATGAGTACATCGGTCGTCTTATCTTTTAGGCCATGATGACTACTAAAGCCAATATTTTAAATGCGAGAGCAGATATAAGGTAGATATAAGATTTACGGTAAGCACCGGATTGGCTATGCCTCTGGAATTGCCGAAGTCCATGGGCGACGGTAACCACTCCCCATTAGGTGAGCCCGTCTGCCTAATAAGGCAATAAAAAAAACATGATAGCTGATATGCCTTCAAATACCAAAAATGCTGTTTCTATATTCGAAGGCATACATCAAGGACGAACAAACACTGTCCCATATAGTTGTCTTAATATTTAGACTACAGTACTACCCTAGTTGCTATTTGCTACTTTTTCAGAATTTCTGTAGACAAAACTGTCTAGAAGTTTGACTAGAAGACATCGTTTTTAGCAATTATACCTGCCCATTCACTGTTTTTGATTGTTGATTATGTTTTGGTGTGCAATAATCTCTCTCTCTCCCTCTCTCTCCTCCGCCCCTGTCTCTTTCCCCCTCTCTCTCTTTCCCTCTCTTCGCCCCTTTCTCTTCCCCTCTCTTTCTTCCCCTCTCTTTCCTCCTTCTCTCTCCTACCCCCTCTCTCCCTCTCTCTCTTTCTCTCACTCTCTCTCTCTATTTTAGGTTATTTTTTAAATACGGTATTGCTTTAATGTATACTTGTCATTATATCTTTTGACTTAATTATATTATACGTATTGTTGTTTCAACGCAAACAAAAACCAATGAGCTTATAGCCGATTTCAAAGTTAATACATAATATAACGAACTTCAAAGCCTATTAAAGTGTTCCTAAAAGTTTCGCACCTTTTCCGGGCTGGTGCTTTTCGTTTTGTTAGGGGAAACGCTGCTCAGAACACAGCAAGTGAGTTTATGAAATACTTAAAATTTTAGGATATTTCCTTTGTTGAGCGGATCTAAGAAACGAGGTTGAAAGCTGCTTTTTTATTTTTCTACACTATCACATCTTGCTCACTGTAACCGGGGTCATCTAGGCGGGCTTCGGATAGCCTGCCGACCGAGAGGGCTGGTGGTCGTGGCGCCGACGACCGCCGGTCCGGCGTCCCGAGGGGGAGGGTGGGATGGGCTCCGCACTAAATGCTTCACTTTCTCCCCTTTGCCTTTTGATGAGTTCTGTCTCATGCGAGATTTGGACATTGATTGTTGAGCGACAGGAGGTTTTAGTCGGTTTGACTCCGACACCCCTCCACTGAGGACGGCACGGCGGGCGGAAGGTGACGATTTCCTCCAGAACAAAAAAAATAATCACATCTCGTATTTTTGTTTAAATAAAAAAAAAACTGTTAGTTTTTTTTCTTTAAGTTTCCTTTCCTTCTTTAGGTTTCCTCAACACTGAGGGCCGTGACCACATTTTAGTAATACCACGTACTTTATGGTAATCTATGGATTTTCCCCTCAAGCCGACTGGTCCTCGTGGGGGATAAAGACAACAGCCCTCCAAAACAACACAGAGAAAAAACTACAAAGAAATAAAAATATACGTCGCAGTTAGAGGAGGCCTTTGTCGATTGACAAACAGATCTACAGAAACTAAGGAAAATCCAAATAACAGAGTAAATTATATAATTATAATATGGTTCTGAATAAAAGGCTATTCATTCATTCGTTCATTCATTCATTCGTTCATTCATTCATTCACTCTATATATTTAAATTTCTTGTTTATTTCGTCGATCTAGTTGGAGTCAGAATACATATTTTGAATGCTCATAATTGAAGTCAGTCTACGTTAGTAGCGTGTTACTCTTGTGTTGTATATTAATGGTTTGGGTTTCTAAGACCCATTACATATTCCTATACCGGGCCAAGTGTGTCTGTCCGTCCGTGGCGTACTGGGGAACAAAAACCCGGTCGGCGGTATATATTGCTCTGACCCGGCAGACTGGTCCTGATTCAGTGGGCTATCCTGGAGCACCAGCGGCACTACAAGGGGGCTGGATGGGCCATCATACCGCGGAGATGGGCGAAGTTGGTCGTCAACTATCGCCAATACGGGTACCAGGCATCCTCAGGGTGGCGTTGCGAGTCTGGTTGTAATGTAGACCGCGGGAACATCTCGTTCTCATCATCTTGTTTTTATCATCGCACCGCCCGGCACCCATACTACCTATTAGAGTTCATCCATACTACCTAGAGCCACTGCGCTTATTCACAAGGCACTTCCAAAGTTTTTTTGCCACGCACCATCAGGATTTGGGACAAACTCTCCTCTACGCTATTTTTTGAGCGGTATGTCCTACTAGGCGCTACATGTCCTTTTGCTAACGGGCTTGTGAAGAATACTTAACGGTGGGCATCGGATTGGCTCTGCTCCTGGCATTGCTGACGTCCATGAGCGAAATCAGTCAGTTAGGCTTTATGCTCGTCTGCCTACTGGGGCAATAAAAAAAAGAATACCCTACTCTGCCCAGGTTCTGACTCCAGGCGCAGATCGGTCGTCGGGTAAGAGAGTGCAAGGAGAGTCGTTTGGTGGGTAGCTAAAAATATATTTGGGCCCGTGGTTTGCTTTCAATATCTACAGACCTTTAAGTTCTACCTACCCCGCGGGTCTGCTAGACGCGGATGCCTCCCATGAGGTTCGGCCCCCCACCTAAAAAAAGTATCTACGTGTCACCTTGAGTTCGCTCATCCATTAGGTTGACCACTGGGCCATACAATCCCTTGGTAAAAAAGGGGGTAGGTAATTCTAGCTTGAGGTCATTGTGTGTTAATTACCCTCTTTTATCTTTATATACATAAACGGGAAACAAATATTTTTGAAGTCAAATATAATACATAATTATCTTTGAAGAAAGTTCACAGAACGTAATTATCTGTGCCGAATATATGTACTTTATGTTTCATAAGTATACTGTGATCGAAAAAAATATTGAATAGAAAAGCCCGAAATGCGGAGCTTTTACGTATTCATTACATTACGTCAAGTCTTTAATAAGCTTCTTAAGCTCAAGGGTAATCACGCTGAGATGGACTAAGCTCAATGTAGTCATAAAATATCAAAATTGGACATTACCAAATAGGCAAAAGAAGTTTATCTGCGTGAGTAATTATATTTACTATATTTAATTATAGTAACTATATTTACGTTTATTGAAAACGTTTGAATTAAGCTCAAAGTATATTCTTAGTGTTTGCTTCTAAGGGTTATGAAAATATGCTTATAGTGAGTTGAGGTAATGAAAAAAGGGTTTTTGTATATATATCATTTTTATTCCAATAATTTGCAATATTTAGAATTACAATTGTGTACATATTTAATTGGATTTATTGGTTCGATCTAACAATTCGTGTGAAGACGTTGGCTTCTAAAGCACAAAAGCGCATTTTTACCGAGCGATGCAAGTATCAATATTTTTATGTATACACGCACACATGTCGTACTTAAGTTTGACATTTAAGCAAGAACTATTTCAATGGTGAGGAATACAAACCTGGTAGAGCACATTAGAAGCCCGCAGAATATTTCTGGCACTAAACTATATAGTTTAAAAGGTAGGATAGTCACTACAGCTCGTTTTAAGGCTTTGGTGACGACTTAAAACCAGGTGCGCCGACTCACTTACCAAAGTAGTGGAATAAAATAATATAAAATTATTAAAGCTCAAAATCGATCCCGCGAGCACTTTACATCTAAGTTGCAAAAGCCAATTTGAAACTAATATTTGTGTGGTTTGAAAGCTCTCCTTTGCATTAGACGGATCTTGTTTAACATTCTAGTTTTATAACAACACGCGGTGAATGAACTCAATGTTTGTTTTGCAAATGAGTCTATGTATTCTGATTGCGTGGTTTGGAGAGCTTTCAGTATTTATAACAATAACCAACGGGTCGGAATTTAGGCTATATACGATTCGATGTTTGAAAGTATATGTTTTTTTTTTTATTGTTCAGATTAGTGGACGAGCTCACAGCCCACCTGGTGTTAAGTGGTTACTGGAGCCCATAGACATCTACAACGTAGACGCGCCACCCGCCTTGAGATACTACTACACTATACTTGAGACCTTAGAACTTATATCTCAAGGTGGGTGGCCCATTTACGTCGTAGATGTGTATGGGCTCCAGTAATCACTTAACACCAGGTGGGCTGTGAGCTCGTCCACCCATCTAAGCAATAAAAAAAAAAGATACAAGTTCTAAAGTCTCAGTATAGTTACAACGGTTGCCCCACCCTTCAAACCGAAACGCATTACTGCTTCACGGCAGAAATAGGCAGGGCGGTGGTACCTATCCGCGCGGACTCACAAGTGGTCCTACCACCAGTAAATGTAAAGTAATATGTGTACATTTACTGGTCTTATACCCAGGACTTTAACAATATCGATACAATATCGGACAATATCGATAACTCCGTGGAAAATTCTAGAACGGCAACTGTTCGAACGAAAAATATATATTTATGAGTACATTCACAACTGTCCATTGTTCCTTTGGTCGGAATGTTAAATGCGCTTCCCCATTTCGCAGATAAATAATGTCGGAACCACGATCGCGAAGCTTGTTATGAAATTTGGTTTTTTACTGGTGGTAGGATCTCTTGTGAGTCAGCGCGGGTGGGTATCACCACCCTACCTATTTCTGCCGTGAAGCAGTAATGCGTTTCGGTTTGAAGGGTGGGGCAGCTGCTGTAACTATACTTGAGACCTTAGAATTTATATCTCAAGGTGGGTGGCGCATCTACGTTGTGGATGTCTATGGGCTCCAGTAACCACTTAACACCAGGTGGGCTGTGAGCTCGTCCACCCACATAAGCAATAAAAAAAAAAAAAAAGTTCCAACAGTTGTTGCAAGTTTCACTGTTGACCCGCACCCGCGATCACCTACCTAACAATACCTTTTCCATTTCCAGGAGTAACAAGTCTTCGAGACGTCATGCTGCTAGTTGAACCATCAACAATCATACGAGGAGGCACGGCCGCACTCATCTGCTCTAGAGACATGCAGGGGTCTCCATTGTACTCGGTCAAATGGTACCGCGGTAACCACGAGTTCTACAGATACACTCCTCTTGAAGAGCCAGCTACAAGAGTCTTTGGTTTGCCTGGAGGCTATGTCGATGTGAGTTCCTGAAGAAACTATTTATATGACAACCGACTTCAAAGAGTAACCTTCAAGATTACATTAATCTAATATATAAAATTCTCGTGTCACAGTGTTCGTTCCTATACTCCTCCGAAACCGCTTGACCGATTCTCATGAAATTTTTTATGCATATTCAGTAAGCCTGAGAATCGGCTACTATCTATTTTTCATACCCCGAAGTGATTAGGGTTGTCCACCCCTAACATATTTTTTTTATTTGGACATTTTTTTTGTTATAATGAGGTATTATGTGGTTGAATGAGGTTTTGTTATTTTTATTATATATTCCCTCATCGTTCACAGCACTACATACCTCTTTCACTCATTTACCACATCCTTACACACTTACAATAATTTAGTTTTTTTTTCTACACTAGAAATTCCCTAGAAATCTTATATATGGCAAAACAATGTTTGCCGGGTCAGCTAGTTAATTTATAATAATATATAAAATACTAGCTTTTGCCCGTGACTCCCGCCCGCATGGAATAGTTACTTTGGCATAACGCTAAATTTTACCGCCACACTTCAGTTACGAAGAAAAAAATATTTTTGAATTATAGAATGCTAAGGAGCTATTTAAACTCCGATTTTGAAACATTATTTATTGGTACACCACTTATATTGGCCTTAGCGTGATATTATAAATATATGCCTATAGCCTTTCTCAATAAATGGGCTATCTAACATTGAGAGAGTTTTTCAAATCGAACCAGTAGTTTCTGAGATTAGCGCGTTCAAACAAACAAATAAACTCTTCAGTTTTATAATATTAATATAGATATTTTTTAAGATTAGACCACTTCGTAAGTATACCCTTTTAAGCAAAAATATTCAATATCGGTCCACAATTGTCGGAGAAAACACGTGCATACATACGTACATTGTCCCTCATACTTTTTTGAAATCAGTTAAAACAGTATTTTTTTATCTCCACCTTATCCCACTAGATAGGGTCGGCACAGCGGATTTGTCTTTTCCATTCTCTTCTATCAGCCGTCATCTCAACACTCACTCATCTGTCTCTCGTATCGTCATTCACACACTCCATCCAAGTCTTCCTCGGTCGACCTCTTCCCCCTCTATCTTGCACTACCATTTCCATACATCTCCTAGTCATATGCAAGTCAGTTAAAAACAGTATTACATAAATATGGCGTTGTAAAACTGAAAAGTGTTTTTTAATTTGATTACTATTTTTTTTAGCGGTTTTTTGTCAATTTATGTGTAGTTTTGTTTTGGGGCTTCGTTGGTTAGTGATTGTTATTTGAGAAGTCAAAGCCCTGGAAACTTTGATGTTGAAAAATATCATCCCGACTCTATCATTACGTGTCTAGATTACTTCGTAGCCACCAATTTGCGGTAAATGACAAAGATGAGGTCTTTCACCGACCGGCTGAGCGCTGGTTCATTGATCGGTAGACCGATAGTCTGGTCGCTGTTGGGTTTGATATTTTTCCGATTATCTTGAAATAGTTAGTAGCGCTATTCAAGTCTTTTCCCAAATTCGATTTCGTCTATAATAGCTACCTCGACACATTAATATCAATAATATCCGTCGACAAGCTTTGACGAATTTCTGGAAACATTATCGGAGCACATCGAAAGCTTGTTTTCAAATGCGTTCCGTGAGCTTTTCTAGATTGAATCAATTTAAACTGAATGGTCTTTGAAAACGATGTTCGCATACGAAAGCTTGTAGGAAGCCTTTTGAAATTGAGCTTTTGAAATTCGAACACGGCTTGATTGGACGTGAAAGTATTGAAAACTCATCGATAAAACCACATGTGTTGACGTAATTATAAATACTGTTAGTGTATTTTCTTAGAGTTTCACAAAGTCGTGGAAATAATTTAAAATGCTTTTAAGGTTTAATCTCGCGTGTTTTTATTGTTAATACATTATTTGGGACGTTCCGAAATCTTCAGTTTTCATGGTCACTCACGACTGAGGTCCTATTCAATTGACGTTTGAAGATGGTACTAATTACTGTCTAATTTTCTATAAAAAAAAATCAATAAATAAGTTTTATATAACAAAAATTCCAAAACTATCTACAAGTCAACACCACTTTGCGAATATCGAAAAAAATATCGCATGTGTTAAAATAAAAAAAATAAACCCGATAAAATTACCCCTAGCTCCATTTTCAGCGGTTTGGTTTCTCATAGGTAGCCCATTTTGTTGTACACGGTTTATTTTGTAATGGTAAATTTTATATTCTAAACTTTCAGATGAACAATTCGAACGGAACGCAAGTTTTGGTGCGAAGAATGGACTTGAGTCTGGCGGGGAACTTCAGCTGTGAGGTCACAGCCGACGCGCCATCCTTCGCCACTCAAATCAGCTACAAATTCATTGATATAATCGGTAAGTCATGTTAACAAATCCCACCCCCCCTGGCTGAGCCTTTGCTCGCCCACCTGTCCTGGTGAAACTGGAAAGGCCTCCGGGTCACCAGTAATCTTTCAATCATAAAAAAACAATCAAATAAGTATACATATATATAGGTATATACAGTCAAACCTGGGTAAGTGATAACTGGATAAGTGAGAGTAATAGCCAGAACCCGTCATTTTAAGCTCCCAAAACCTCTATTAGCGAGAAACAGAAACCTTTGTAAGAGAGAGTCGTTTTTTCCTCATGGACCTCCGTAAGTGAGACTGCTACTTATGTATACCTCTATACGCGATAGGCGAACTTTATTTATTTATATTATTTAGGAGGAACAAATGACAAAACAAATTACAAATTTAACATCTGCTATTTTATGACTCATTCTTAACTTTCGTGGAACTTCCTACCATTGTTTTTGTATTGTTTTCTCGACAATATCGAACCTATTCTATTTCGTGGAACTAAATAACGTTGTTATTTTATCGCATTCTTTTCGAATGGACACGTATGCCTGTGTACTGTCCTGTTTGTCGGACTTACTCAGTTTATCGTTAATTAATTGCGAAGGAAAGTTCTGTTATGCATCATGTCAAAACGGAAAATTAAAGCAGTGTCATTAAGTGATAAACTTAAAATAGTGAATGCGTTTGAATCCGGAAAATCGCGAAATGAAATTCAGAGGGTGCATTAGCGAGAAACTGGGGTTAGTGAGAAACCTCTATAAGCGAGAATGAGATTGTGCTCCCTTGAACTCTCGCTTACCCAGGTTTGACTGTATATATATATATATATATATTACAATTTATGCGTAGAAGTATCTAGAAGTATCATAGGTTAGCCGTTTGGAAAACATCCGTATTTTCCCGAACAATTGTTCTGATGTTGCGTCTAGAACGTTCTCGACGCGCGATCAAACGATACAATGTTACGAAATGAATTCGCTGACCCAAAAACGAAAAGTTTGGAAACATCAAGCAAGCGTGGGCATTGTTAATGACGTCAGTGTCCGAAACATGACGCGGGGTCAGGTCATTTAATTTTGTTCGTCGAAAAAATTATCATCACACCGCTCCCGGGAGCACAGCTTATCCTTCGAAAGATAATTTTTATGACGTAAGACTCGACTATAGCATGATTTCTCTCCCGAGGTATTTTATAAGCGCTCTGGTACCTCCTTGGTCTAGCGAGTAAATTTCTAAAACCACTTAATAGCAGGTGAGCCGCGAATCTGCTCAACTACTGCAATAAAAAAAAACCGCCTTAAAAAAACTTTCAAAACAAATTAATATGCACTAAAAAGTAAAAAATATATTGCGTATTCTTCTATAACTTAACATAGCTTAATATTAAGTAAATATAATGTAGCTACAAATGTTCTTAATTTTGGAGTCGATGTCAGCATAGGTAGGTTCGCAATTACATACTATATACATAGTTAGAGGTGACGATATGTTCTTATGTCGCATACACGACTTGACGAAACAAACATTTAAAAAAATACAGCCGAATTAAGAACCTCCCCATTTTTTTAAGTCAGCTAAAAATAAAATGTGCTTTCTCTGGCTAGCGTCTGCACTTCATTGACACTGATATCGTAATGTATAAAATAACATCATTTTCTTGTTTTTCATACTAGGCTGCACTAAAAGTATCGGGAATGGAATATTTCCACTGCTCCTGTCATATTAAAATCTTTTTAATTGAAAACTCCTTGGTTTTAAAAATCGAATACCATTTATTTATTTAAAAAAAGATTCTCGGTCTTGTCACGAGGTTTTGTCAAACTTGTTTAGTCGTTGAGAAAATGGAATTGACTCGAGAAAATTCAAGAGCGATGATTTATTATGACTTTCGAAGTGGTTTAACACAAAAACAGTGTGTTGACCGGATGATTTCTGCATTTGGTGATGAAGCCCCATCCAAAACCACAATTTATCGCTGGTTTGCTGAGTTTCAACGTGGACGTGTCAAGCTCAGTGATGATCCCCGTCAAGGTCGTCCAAAAACTGCAGTCACCCAAGAAAACGTTGATGCTGTGCGTAAGCTGATTGAGGAAGATCGACATGTGACATACCGCGAAATTCAGGCAACTTTAGACATTGGCATGAGTCAAATACAAATAATCTTGCATGAACAATTAGGTGTAAAAAAGTTGTTTTCCCGATGGATACCGCATTCGCTCTGTGAAGAGCAAAAAGCGGCTCGCGTTACTTGGTGCGTCAGAACTCTCGAAAGATTCCACGCAGGATCCTCAAATGCTGTATACAACATTGTATCAGGTGACGAATCCTGGATATACGCGTACGAACCCGAAACAAAAAACCAGTCACGAGTTTGGGTGTTCGAAAATGAGTTAAAGCCAACAAAAATTGTTCGTTCACGGAGTGTTGCAAAAAAAATGGTGGCCACGTTTGTCTCCAAAACCGGCCATGTTACGACTATTCCTCTTGAGGGACAAAGAACGGTTAATGCAGAATGGTATGCTAGCATTTGTTTGCCACAGGTCGTTTCTGAACTCCGTAAAGAGAACTGCAACCGCCGCATCATCCTCCATCACGACAATGCGAGTTCTCACACCGCGCACAGAACAAAAGAGTTTTTAGAGCAAGAAAACATAGAATTATTAGACCATCCGCCGTACAGCCCCGACCTAAGCCCTAATGATTTCTATACTTTCCCTAAAATAAAGAATAAATTGCGTGGACAGAGATTTTCATCACCTGAAGAAGCTGTGGACGCCTACAAAACGGCCATTTTGGAGACCCCAACTTCCGAATGGAATGGTTGCTTCAATGATTGGTTCCATCGTATGGAAAAATGTGTCAAATTTCGCGGAGAATACTTTGAAAAGCAATAAATACATTTTTAAACAGTAATTTTGTGTCACTTCGTTAATTCCCGAAATTTTCAGTGCCGCCCTCGTAAGCCACCTAACTATAATTTGACAAATAAATCTTTGTGCTGGTTATGCAATACAATCGTTCGAACCCTTGTCTGGTAGTGGGTGACAGCATTTCGTTGTGACCTAAAAAAAACAAAACAAAAAAAAACACGTTTTCCCTCAAAACATTAGAACGTTCAATAATTCGTTTCTTAGACATTCATTTAAAATGATTACTTTAGTATTTTGCTTTGTGGTATTATGTTTGTTGTGTAGGAGTCGTTGGCATGATTAATTCTATAATTACGATTCTTGTTTCGGATACTTAAAATTTTCATGGCTACGGACTACTTAATTATAATAAGTATAATATTAGCCTTACCTAATAATACTCATAGCTAAGAATTAAAATGTAAACCAAATTGTATTCTACAAGTTTTTGGAACGAAATTCCTTATGGGATGATGCGGAGGGGTACCCTAGTCGGGAAAAACGTCCGTAACGTAAGATTTTTATCAGTAATGCACACAGTGTACGACTTAACTTTGTAATAACGAACAAAAAATAACATATTTTTTTATCATTCATTGACCACGATCTCAGAGCGTTCGTTTGCGCAATACACTAACTCTTATGCAAAGAACCGTGAATGAAGTGTACCACAATAAGTTCGCACGTTACCGAATGACCGTGGGTGGTGGACCGAAACCTCCAGTTTTATTTTCTTTATACCTCGAATAGAACTTAAAATAATATTTTTATAATAAGGAGCTTCGTTCCTATCCGGTGTCCCACGACACCATACATCTTTTTTTTTAACGCTTGGATCGATGAACAAGATCACCATGGTCTTACGTGGTTAAAAGCAGTAAAAAGCTCCAATTTAGAGGGTAGGGCAGTCAAATACTATAATAATTGGGACTAACGTCTCATGTGTCGAGGTAGGTGGCCGCATTCGCGTTGTGATATCCGTGACTACGGTGACCATTTAACGTCAGGTTGACCGTAAACTCGTTGGTTCGTCCTTGCACAAAAAAAATAACATCAAAATATCTTAAAAATTTCCATAAAAATTCTTCCATAAAAAAATAACTTACTATTCGAAGAAATTATAGAGAAATTTAACGATGACCAAAATTAATGCTGCTAAAATAAATATGTATCTATATCCTTTTCTGACGTTATCAATTTCAACGGTTCACATTACCCTACGAGGTCTGTTTGATGATGAATAAATCAAAGGGAAAACAGGTCAATAAGGGACAAGTTCGTTACGCCGTAGATTGTCTCGCCAAGGGAGGGCTAGCATATTGATATTATCCATAAATTAAGTGAAAATAATTAAGACAACGTGTTAATATAATCTATGCGTTTGTTAAATTATTACGGCCAGTTACTAACTGATTGCAATCAACAATTCTTTATCACTAGAATAGCCACATGTAAGAGTCAAAATTAGCAATAGAACGTGCTCTTTGTGCTTTCATTATTGGCAACAAGCGAACTGCTGAAAATTGTCTTTTTTTCCCATCTAAGCTGGTAATCTAGGGGGTTCAATCCAACCCCTCCTTTGTACTGTGAGGCATCTAAACTATACCATAAATTCTTTGTTGTGGAAGTGGCATTGACATTGAGATGTCAATGATTTTTAATTACTATTTAAGAACAGGTGAGCCGTAAGATCTTGAACACTACTATTCGTAAAGTGTCAATGTTGCGGTAATAAAATGAGGTAATAAATCATAAATTTATGGAACTCTATATTTGGAAAGGAAATAAGAATTCCCTCATTTTTATTCCCTTAAATCTATTTTTCGCTAACAATAGACCGCTATAATCTCGCGACTCTGAAAGCATCAGAAGTTACGGTATAAAATATTGATATCAGACCTCGGGGAGTAAGAGGTGACTCGGAAAAGCTTTGAGGAATGGAAGAATTGGCATTCAGAACCACGTCTCGGCGCATTGAAATCAATTAGGATCCGTGAGCCGTTTCCCGAGATGGACACGGATTAAACTGATGTTTTCTGGCGTTAGTATGTCGTCAAAAAGTTTCAAGGGACGTCTTATTTTAATTGGGGCCTCTGGAATTCGCTTCGTGAATAATGGTCGCTCGTTAAAATAAGGCTAAAACGTATTCATAATCTGTAGCGATCGTAAACACATAGCTTAGGGAGATAATTTTGAAAGCGAATTGTTTTTTTTTTTTTATTCGATCTTGTAGAAACATGCCTAATGCCCATGTTCTATTGGGTTATCAGAGCTACTTTTTGTATTGCAAATTAAAATTTTTGCGGGTTTGATTACTATTTGATTGTCATTGTCATTTCTTCATGTGTCGAGTACGTATTTCATTAGAAAAATTAGTACCTATCGAATTGTGGGATTCGGGTAGCAACCAGCCTTTCTCGCGTCGATACGAATTAGGTGTCTTATCTTTAGGCTACGACGATTGTAGTTTTATCAATAAAACAAATATGCATACGAATTTAAAACCATATTTTTTCATGTCGACAATTTAAAGAAAGTTTGAAGAGAAGTTGAGAAGCGCTCGTTTGTGATGGTATGGACATGATGTGATGAACCGAAATGACAATAAGGTTGTTAAGAAAGTTAATGTGGAAGGCTTTAGAGGAAGAGGTAGACCTAAGAAAAAATGGATGGATTGCGTGAAAGAAAAGAGTGAGCGAAGAAACGGTATATGATAGAGGAGAGCGGAAAGAGAAAATATATTGCGTTGACCTCAGGTCACTGGGTGAAGTGCAAGAGAATGATGACGATGATGATGATTTAAAACCAAGAAATCTCTGTTTACTTATTACAGCCCTGCCCGAATCCGGCCCGGTATTAAAGGCGGATAAAGACCGGTACCAACCCGGGGAGGTGCTTCAGGCTAACTGCACGTCGTCTCCGGCGAGACCAGCTGCCAATCTCACGATATACATTAACGAAGAACCTGTAAGTATTAGGTATGATATTAGTAATTGTGGAAAAGCTAAAGAATTGATAAATATTTAGGTTGTTAAAAAGTTGAAGAGAATACGTGTCTAAAACTGTTGGTGGGGTATTGACTCATGGATATGTATTCATATCCGGCTCATTGCCGCGAAGCAATCGTGCAGTCTGACTTCGATTCCAAATTATCTACTTTTAATAGTATTTTAAATTTTTAAACTTAACTGTTAAATTTTTAACTGTTACTTTTGTTGTTATATTTTTTTCTTATGCCTCCCAATTCATAGTTTTTGTGGTCAAGGACGAATTTAATTGTAACTTAAAGAACTTACTGGTGGTAGGACCTCTTATGAGTCGGCGCGGGTAGGTACCACCACCCCGCCTATTTCTGCCGTTAAGCAGTAATGCGTTTCGGTTTGAAGGGTGAGGCAGCCGTTGTAACTATACTGAGACATGGGAACTTATATTTCAAGGTGGGTGGCGCATTTACGTTGTAGATGTTTATGGGCTCCAGTAACCACTTAACACCAGGTGGGCTGTGAGCTCGTACACCCATCTAAGCAATAAAAAATAATAATAATTTAAAACCATGTTATTAATTTCCAGCTTCGTTCATCAGAAACTAGTTTTCACCCATCAGAGAATGGGCTGCTGTGGACTAGTGTGAAGGCAGACGCTAAAGTCAGCTCAGAACTCTTCGTCGGAGGAAGGATGAGGGTTGCCTGTGTGGCCACCATACACAATGTTTACAAAAACTCCTCGAATTTGGACTTCTTTACTCCAGAAACGGATCCTAGGCCAGAACGAAGTAAGTTTGAGAAATTGCGACATTAAGGCATGATTAACATTCCAGATTAACGATTCTTTTTTTATTGCTTAGATGGGTGGACGAGCTCACAGCCCACCTGGTGTTAAGTGGTTACTGGAGCCCATAGACATCTACAACGTAAACGCGCCACCCACCTTGAGATACAAGTTCTAAGGTCTCAGTATAGTTAAAGCGGCTGCTCCACCCTTCAAGCCGAAACGCATTACTGCTTCACGGGAGAAATAGGCAGGGCAGTGGTACCTACCCGTGCGGACTCACAAGTGGTCCTAGTACCAGAACGAACTACAAAGTCGATGACACTTAATTTGATTGTACAGTCAAGCGAAACAAAAGTGGTAAAATAAATAAATTTTACTAAATTATTAAGCCTTTGATAGTAAGATTTATTGTAGTTTTGTTTTTATTTTTCGATTTAGTGTACACCACGAAGAGGAATGATTTTGAAAATAAAATTTGTAAAATATAAGAAATATAAAACAGTACATCATTGTCATTTTCAATGATCTTAACTTTTGTAGCTCCCACACGTTTTGCTTTATGATAATTATGATAACTATCTATGTATATCTAAGTAATTTCCCATTAAATGTTACTCTGTTACCCAACCAGATGTAAAGAGAATATCGCTACCAATCTCAACATGAAGTTTTCATGGCCAAAAGACAAAACGCCAGGTCTCAAAAATTTTCTAAAGAAATATACGATTATTACAATGATCATCCTGAAAGTCCCGACTTTAAAAAGGGGGGAAGTAATTTTTGGGACTTTGAATTATGTCTCATATAATGCGATGGCATTATTGCCCTTAAACCCCTTACAATACCCACCGTGGAATAAAAAAAAAAGATCGAAGCAAATTGTCAATAAATCTTCTCTATTTAGCTTATTTACCGTCAAAAACATACCCTAAAAAGGTAAACAAACAAACATTTGGTCTCCATTAATTAATTTAACCGTATCCTGCCGTGTTTACCAAGTTCGTGAGCAATTAGAAAAACATTAGCTTCCCGTCCAACCCTCAGTGAAATACGGGAAATGTCCCCTAGTGACGTGTTTGCTGTTTAACCGAGTAATTGCTTTATGAAATCTCTTTTTTTTTTAAATCGATCACTGCACGATTCATGCTCGTGGATACATTTATCGGAAACTAGCTGACCCGGCAGACTTCGTAATGCCTCAATCGATAAATAAAATACACATCAAGGGAAAAACAAAATTGTTTGTTTTTATATAATTCCGAGCTTTTTTTATATTTTCTCGCCTTTTAAACCTTCCCTGGACTTCCACGAATAAGTCAAGACCAAAATTAGCCAAATCGGTCCAGCCGCTCTCGAGTTTTAGCGAGACTAACGAACAGCAATTCATTTTTATATATAGAGAAATGGGAACTATGCGGCGGTCCGTCATTGCGACGTGACGTGAATGTTGTCATCTGCCTTGAGACATGAGGCGACCTCAATTGTATAGCAGTTGTCCCAACAAAATTCTGTCTATTTTTACTGTAAAACAGTCATGCTTTTCCGTTTGGTTGGGCCAGTAATATCACAACATTGTTGAGTCTTCGACCTCATGTCTCAAAGTGGGTAGAGGTGTTCACGTTGTGAGGTCTATAAGCTTCGGTAATCACTACACTAGTTAGACCATGAGTTCGTTTACCCATATAGACAATAAATATATCCATTAGCAATTACTTATGCTTTAGTTTGTCAACAAAATTTTATTTTTAAAACGCTGTTCTCTCTTCTTCCAGTAACCCTGAACAGGAGTTCCAAAGCGTTTCCCAGCTGGATCTTCTTAATGTTCCTGCTCTTGCTGCCGATGATGGTGATGTCCCAGGACTACTTCGCATACGAAGACCTGCCTTCTTACGACGAACAGAAGTACGAAGACACAATTAGATCAATGATCGGGGCCTGATTTTGTTAGATAGACTATATTTTAATTTAATGATTCGCTGTTAGATTGGATTAAGGTCTGACAGTAAAATTTGACAGATATATAAAATGAGAAAACACGCTTTAAAAAAGTGGACAAGTTCAAACTCTTAATTGTACTCCAATTCAATCAGAGAAATATCCTTTAAGACAGTGTCAGTCTACCCTTGCGAGCTAATTGTGACTCCACGTATCCACAGGCTCTAGCAAATTTTTAACAATAGATAAACATGACCTTGTTTGCCTTACGGTAATAATGCGAGTAATTTATAGCGTGTTCATGAGTGCTCACGTTCGGCAGCGTGAAGAGCACCTTAATCCAAAGAAGACAATTTTGTGAGATTGTGATTGTACATGTAAACACATAAGTTTATTAAGAATAAGCACGAATTCTAATAGTTAAGTTTATAAATGTATTTAAGGATCACAATTTTAATATTTGTAATTTTCTTATAAGAAAAACTTTGAATTGAAATCGGCGGCTTGACTACGATGATAATTTTCATTCCATTGCGGCGCGTGGGAAAGAGATGCCGCTAATGTTAACATTATGTAAATGATACTTATTGGTTTGGTTCGTAATTAATTAATATGCTACTAAAACTCATCATTTCATTATCAGAACGTCAAATGTACTACAGTGTCTTAAATTAAGAAATCGTATTGTTTCCGATGCACTGTGAATAGCTAAGACTTTTTTAGGTCATGGACCCTAAGATGAACCAACCACACATGAGTCCGATTGAACGAGATTTTTGCACAGATTTGGCATGAGGACTGGCTCGTGTTGAAAAATGACGATAGGAAGATCTTCCTTAAGATCAGACCTTTGTAGACCGACTCTCCGAAAGTTTTTGTTACTTACTCATGGTAGGACCTCTTGTGAGTCCGCGTGGTACCACCACCCTGCCTATTTTCTGCCGTGAAGGATGGGACAGCCGTTGTAACTATACTGAGACCTTAGAACTTATATCTCAAGATGGGTGGCGCATTTACATTGTAGATGTCTATGGGCTCCAGCAACCACTTAATACCAGGTGGGCTGTGAGCTCGTCCACCCATCTAAGCAATAAAAAAAGAAAAAAAAATCGTTCGGATATAAATTCTTATTATGCAAAAGTAACTTGAAAATCTTTTCGATTCATGTTTCTGATGTCTATTTTATAAAGACGCTACACGTACACAAATTTTAACACGACTATTACCGAATCTAAAATGGTTAAATTAAGCATAAATCCAGAACTTTTTGCTCTATTCATTTAAGGCTATTACTACACATTTTTATTTATTTATTAGGCACACAATACACAATGCAAGTTAAAAAGATACACAATAAGTAAACAACAACTTAAAAAAAAAGGATTGTGTGGTTTTATGAAACCACGGTTAAAGTGATACTTTTTTTCAAATTAAATACCTTTAACTCTGACTAACAACATTTACATTAAACACTGATAAATACAAACAAAATAGCGTAGAGCACTGGCACAGATGAGTAATAGTCTATACACTACACGGTCAGCTGCTGCGAATTATAGGCGCCGCCATATTGGCCTCGGCTGCTCTGACGAGCGCATTTCACTGACTCCGCGGCCGACCGTCACGCAACATGCAACACACAGACGCAAAAATTTTAAGACGATGTAACAAAAGTTTCACTTTAAAAATCTGACTTTTAATATAAGCCTTGTGGGCCCGACCAAGCAAGACAAATGTGCTGAGTGTGTACACGAAGATCCTTACCACTACTGGATAAAACAACACGATGGCGAGAATCAAGCTAACTTATAGTATAAGGAAATAATTTTATACACAATAAAAATAAAATATTTAGACTGCTTTATCTACTATTAACTATTAACATTGTATGATTTGAAGTATTTTATTTTACTGGTATTGGAATACATTAGTAAAATACTATCACACATACTATATACTATGGTGCAATAGTATTATATTTACGAGCTGTCTGCCAAATTACGTGTATCTATCTGGTTTCAGAAACAATTGAAATACACCGTGCCTAAATAATTTTATTTAATCCATGAACATGCTTAACATTTTTCTCCTACCCCGCCATTAGAAGCATCACTTCTGAATGTCCAAAACGAATTAGTAAAATTTATACTTTATGTATTATGCGGACGTAACGACATCTAGAAGTCATTTCAGGAAACTAATACTAAAAAAACAATGCTTTATTAACTCACAGTATGTACTAATATTGTTTAGTAAAAAAACCATCTAGATTTAACTATAGATAAAGTAATAATGTAAATAAATAAACAAATAAAATATAGACAACGAATGATTTCGTAAAATAAAATTTTAAGTACTGTATACTTACATAATATGAATTCTTCAAATTTATTGTTATTCAAACACGATGATGGTTCCATTTACCGAAATAATATTTGAATAATACTCATAATTTTATTAAAATTTGGTGTGACGCTGCACAAAGTTTCAATGGAATTGGGTAAAATACGTTAGGTGTATAGCAACAAATTAGCATTCAATTTGCAATAGATTTAGCTGGAGAACAATTGTCTGGCAATATGGACATTAGCACCAATGTAATAATGTTTTATTATGTATAGAATCTCTTGTTGGTTGCAAAGATCTTCCACCGAACGACTACATAATATACTCCGGAGACCGATATATATAGGTATAAATGTTGTACACAATTTGTAGGAAGTTCATCTTGTTAATGTTTTTAATGCGATTTAGGTTGTTGTACAGCAGTTTTGTAGCCTTTATATTGTCTTGAAAGATGCTTTAAGCAAATATTAATTACAATGCAAATTCGAAACAATGAAACATAACTTTATTTAATTTTATGATATTTATATTATGATCTATGTTATATTATTTATGATATATTATTATGTTTGAAGGCGCGATAACGTCGAATTCTATTTAAAGATTACATTCCGTTCATTAGCTTAAAATGTTAAGACGTATTTTATTGAAATATTAGTAAGATCATCGAAATATTTTTTTGTAAATAAATCAATGTTTGTTGTAATTACAGTTGAACGAATATTTAGAGTGAATTTTCATGGTACAAAATACAAAGATTTTTATGAATATTTTTTGCTGCAAATTTAGCGTTCAAGTCATGAAGTCTATAGACATCCTCATCTCTATGGACATCATGATCAACATGAGGTCGAAGTCTCAATTGTATTGTAAACGACTGTCCCACCTTTTAGATCGAATGGGCTACCGTTTTGGTATTACCACAGGTTAGTTTCAAACATGTCAATTTTTACCCAATATTTTTTAAGCACAAACATTAAGAAAAATATGTTACTATAAGCTCGAGCAAAAAAAAAACTTTAAATATCAAAATCTTTCGTACCTATCTAAGGCTCAGTCTTGAATTATTGGGAGTGCATTTGATTCTAAGGAAAATATTAATAAACCATTTCTCAGTAAATGTTCATACATCTCATACATTTCTAAACAATGCGTCTATAATCAGGTATCCGTGTGTGTCTTTGGAATTATTTATTAGATAGAAGCTGATCTACAATTTGTAAGCAGTGTTAAAATATTAAGACAGGTAAATACACTTAAGGATATATCTTACATCTTGGGATTTTTTAAAATACTATTTACACATTTACTTTGTTATTTTAGCACTTTACATGAAGTAAGAATTACGAATATCTGTGAAGTGTGTTTCAATTTATGTAAAAAAAAGTTATTGATTACTATTTTATACTATCTCTTTATATATGTTTTTTTTTTAATTGTCTTTGTAGGCAAGTGACCACAGACCCACCTGACGGTAAGCGGTCGCCGTCACTCATAGACATCTGCTATGTCAGAAGACAGTTCAATCTCTGTCTACAGATGCATCATTTTTGAGCTATTGCATAGCTTTTATCGCCGGCTTTGAGCGCGGCGCCCGAATCAAGAAATTCCTTAACGAAAATAAAACCTAACACCCTCTAATCCGTCTACCATGTAGCTCGCGTTCAACACAATGTTTTTTATTTTTATTTTTTTATTGCCCTTGTAGGCAGACGAGCATACGGCCCACCTGATGGTAAGTGGTTACCGTCGGCCATGGACTTCAGCAATGCCAGGGGCAGAGCCAAGCCGCTGCCTACCTGCGTGTTGTGTATTGTTTGTGAATAAGGGCGTGGCGTGACGTCGCTCTGCATGCGAATCATGAAAAGACTGCCCATCTCTCTCTCGCGCGGTCTAGCTTATGAATGTGACGGGGACAGTTAATATTTTGCTTTTGTTAATGCTTATAAATATAGCGTGGTCTTATTTTATTATTATTTTAATATTAAATTACTATTGTCTAATCATAATTGCATAAGTCGATAAAAAATGCTATGCAATAGCTTTACCGCGACAGTCCCCGAGCGCCACACGTGTTTTTTTTTTAAATTTAATTTTATCTCCTCGTCTTTATTTGTTTCGATATAATAATATGTTTCTTACAAAAATCTAGCAAATATCTAGCTGATATGATAAGAAACGCGTTTAATTCGCTGAACGGGATAAGGAAATAAAACCACACTCCGGACGGGTGAAATTTCGATTACCTAGTCAGTAATGTAGATGTCATTTCGAAGCACGTTTCATAATAATAATACAGTTATTATTAAGAAATATGATTTTTCCAAAGAATTTATCACCGTCTTACACCTAAATAAAGATGATTGTTTTTAAGGCATTTGTTTTATTTCGTCCGGAAACATTCACAAGGGTTTTCACAAGTATATAAGCGTATCTAATGAATTCAATTCTTTTTGCGTTATTTTCTGACGAACGTCGATGATCATGAAAGCTATATTGATCCGCGACTAATATCTAAAGATATAATTACGTTCACAACGTGAATGCGTGAGTGGGCCAGACGGTTCTGAAAACGTGCGCCCCTGAGCTGACAGCTGCCCTAACGCGTTTGTATCGCCTCTCTTATTGCACTAACATGGTTCCGTCTTCATGGAAGACAGCCCACGTCCACGGAAGACCACCCAAGTCCACCCTATCCCCAAGAAGGGTGACCGGTCGGACCCATCGAGCTATAGGCCTACCGCGATAACTTCCTTGGTTTCCAAGGTAATGGAGCGAATAATAAATACACAACTCCTGAAGTATTTTGAGGATCGCCAGTTGATCAGTGACCGATAGTACGGTTTTCGTCACGGTCGCTCAGCTGGTGATCTTCTTGTATACCTTAACTCACAGGTGGGCTGAAGTCTTGGAGAGCAAGGGCGAGGCTCTTGCTGTGGGCCTGGATATCGTGCAGGCCTTCGACAGGGTCTGGCATAGGGCACTTCTGCCGAAGCTACCGTCTTACGAAATCCCCGAGGGACGCTGCAAGTGGAGCGCTAGCTTTTTGGATAGGTGGAGCATCACGGTCTTTCTAGACGGTGACTGCCCTGATACTATGACCATTAACGCTGGCGTTTCACAAGGTTCGATGCTCTCTCCACGCTTTTCATCCTGTATATCAATGAAATGCTGTCTATTAATGGCATGCATTGCTATGCGGATGACAGCACGGGGATGTGCGATATATCGGCCATCAGGGTCTCTCTCGGAACGTGGTGCAAGAGAGACGATCAAAACTTGTATCTGAAGTGAAGAACTCTCTGGGACGAGTCTCCGAATTGGTTGAATTGAACTTGGTTCAAGTATAAAATGGATGAAGGTCAAAAGCATGGGGTTAACGACTCAATCCCACTAAACAGTGGTTAGCATACCCTTTAAGCCGTAATGAACTTCGTTCTATGGAAACTAAAGCATATATTAACATTATGTAATAGGTTGGGGGAAAAGTTCCTTCGCATTTTTTAAGAAAATTCACAACATTTTTTTAAGATAGTTTATTTACATTTAACTAAAGTATGTAGGTACCATTTTGTTCGATAACTTTTGCCACCTTGTAGGTAGGAACATGATCCCATTGCTATAGAAATTTTGGGCCTTCTGATCAAAATACCGCGACAATTGGTTTTGGCAGTCCTCTCGTGATGTTAACCTGACTGCCTAAAGAATTCTAAAGAGACCGAAACAGGTGCAAATCTGAAAATGCAAGGTCAGGAATATACAGCGGATGCATTAACACCTCCCAGCCAAACTGTTTTTATTTTTTGCTGAGTGGCTAAAGATATGTGAGGTCTAGCGTTATCATGATGAAAAACTACACCTCTTCTGTTGATTAATTCCGGCCGCTTTCTCTCAACTTCTTGCTTTAACATCATCAGTTGCTCGTAGTAAAGTTCAGGATCGATGGTCTTGCCTGGTGGTAACAGCTCATAATGAATAATGCCCTTCCAATCCCACCACACACACAGCATCACCTTGTTGCAAGTTAACCCGGGTTTCGCCACAGTCTGTGAAGCCTGACCGGCCTTTGACCACGACCTTTTTCGCACGTTCTTGTCGTACATGATCACCAGTTATCAGTTTCTTCAAAAGTGGTTCGGTTTCATTACATCGTAATAAAGAATCCCAATTGAGTATACGGTTCATTAGGCTTCTTTCAGTGAGCTCGTGAGGTACCCAAATATCGAGCTTTTTTGTGTACCCAGTTTTTTCAAATACGCCAAAACTGTTTAGTGGTTAATTCTCAGTTCTTCAGCTACGTTGTAACTACTGATATGCCGATCTTGGTCCACTTTATCAAAAATGGCATCAATTTTATCCGTAATAGAGCGAACAGAGCGACTTGCATCTTTGACATCAAAATTTCCGGATTGAAAACGCTTAAACCAAATCTGTGCTACTCTCACAGACACTGCACTAGCTCCATAAACATCGCAAAGGACAATGCCCAAAAGTGGGCCAACTTTATGTCAAAACTATTTGTACTTGAAAAACTATGTCTTATTTTTTCACGTTGTTTAGTTTATGTATCAACATTTCTTTCAACCTGGCATTGTTTTCCAAAAAAATAAATTACTTATTTGACATCCCAAAACTATCCATGCCATAGTTTTTAAATTCGCCAATAGGCAAAGGGCAATAAAACCATGACTTATTTAATATTTTTAGATATTAATGATTCCATTAGTAAAAATATCAATGGCCTACCATTACTCTATTCTCTATGATCAGAGAGTTTTGGCAGCAACCCGAGTGAAGCGTCACTTGAATTTTAATTTTAATGTTTTTTTAATAGTTTATTGTGTAATTTGTATTATTTGTATTTGTAATATCGTGTATAAAAGGTCTGCGTAAGCTCATGCTCAGTCAATGTGGTTGTGTCGAGTTGACGTCAAAACTCCCAAAAAGCAATAAAAAGAGATACACCGGCTTTTTATTGACATAAAAAATATATAACTTCGACAGACTAGGCTGTATAGACTACGCTCTTTGCCTGCTTATTGATGAATTTAAAAACAACAACAACAATATCGTTGCCGGCTTCCATTTCGTTTCATTTTATTATTATTATGAGGATATAATAATAATAAAATGTACGTAAGGGCTTATGTCTAGCAACATTAATCACAATTAACTTATTTAATACTGTAAATAATTATGAGAGCGATTATTGATTTCGAAGAAAACAATTAACAACTTAATTTTAGCTGCAGAAAAAAACAGATTTCTCTTAAACCTGGGTGAGAATATAAAAATCGTTTTCTGAATATGAAACGATATTTCTTTGTCTATCAAATTAAGTTAAAACTATCATGACAGGAAAACTTTTTTTAGGGGCCCAAACGCCCATAGAAAATGGGCATTGTCCTTTCTTTTCGCGGCTTGTGTTGAATTTTTTCCTTTTTTATATTAAAATTTTAAAAGGTATTGAATTTCTTCATTAGATTCACTCATCTTGACAGTACGAAAAATAAATAAAAATCACATATTTTCCTAATTTGAATTTGTTTATTTTTTTCTTTAAAATTTAAACTTTTAATGATACCAAAACCAGCCAGATACAAAGAGTATAGCCAAAGAGATTTTATTATAAGTTCATACATACTATAATGCGAAAAGATTTTTTCCTCAACCTTATTATACAGTGCTATTATTGTTGACGCAAATCAGTAGAAAATTATCACGAGCAGACCGCAATTAGAATGCGCTAGAAATAAAAAAATCAAATTAAAACCCTCTAATGAACAAACAGCGTTCGCGTCTGTCGGCCGTCATAGATGATGATGTAGACTGGGTATTTGGAACTTATAAATAACTATTTTGATATGAATTACATTAGCAATTATATGTCAAAAATGCCATAGTTAGGTAGAAGAACTCACTTTTTTGTTATGTAATAAGTTTTTTTTTACCCTTGTAGGTAAACGAGCATACGGCCCACCTGATGATGAGTGGTTACTGTCGCCCATGGACTTCAGCAATGCCAGGGGCAGAGCCAAGCCGCTGCCTACCGCTTATTACCCTCCATAAGCCTCCGTTGAAGAAGGACATATCATAGCGCTCGGGAAACACCGTGGGGGGGGAGCTCATTCCATAGCCGGAAATAACCTAAAACTTTTGCTGTATTGTATAGCACCACCCCACCTCTTTCCATGGGTGTGGTAACTCTATATGTTTTCGGCATTAGTTCGGCTTTATCCAAATATAGAGAAGATCTATGTCAAAATATCGGCAAATGTTGTATTAATTTTTTGAATTTATTTAAAATTTGTATACAATAAAGCATTCTGTCTCTTTCTCTCTCTCTCAAATGGGTGTCACGCGAGTATATTTGTTTGTTTTACATGTATTTAGCACTTATAATATTAAAACTGAGGGTCCATTAGCACTGGATAGTAAATACTTAGTATTAAATTGATGACTCCTAAATATCCACTTATTTTACTACTGGTCGATAAAACGCGATTGGGTACCATTACTCTGGTAATTTCAACGGTAAAGCAATCATGCGTGATGCTTATAATTTACATATTATGCCACTTTGTTCGAATTGTCTGGTGATGGATTTGTGGCGACTCACTTACTAGCCACTACTTGGACAGCCGCCTTACAATTCAACAAAATCGCTGTCGCCTATGAATTCAGGCAATCATCTATTTTTGTTGTTTAACACTTCGAAATCTTAAGAAACTGCGGGCAGTACTCATCGATATTTGCTGTGCTACCCATCGTTCGTGTCAGTGCTTTACTACTCCTATAAGTTATTTCTTTATCGTACCACTCCTGTCATAGTTTGTTTGTGTATATTTGTATCTACAATAAACTATTTAAAGCAGTACATATTAATACTCACTGTGTAAACCATCCTTCGTGTCAGCGCCTACCTAATACAGTTAGAAGCAGAACTAATACAACTACTTCTACAGTGGTACACCATACAGTGGTGACCCTCGACAGCAAGAAGAACCGAAGATAAGTGGATTAAATGTATAATTAATTATCGTATACATTATCGTTTTCGGCTATAACATTTTTATTCAACAAGGTAGACGCAAAATATTTTTAGCCGGTGGTCCAAGTCATACGTACTGAGCGTATTTAAATATTTATCCGGTATGGCCCAAAAAGAAGATCCAAAGATGTCTCAAGAAATCTACAGAGTTGGTGTGCGCATTCCGCCATTCTGCTCAGAGGACCCAGAAATGTGGTTTGGTCAGATAGAGATGCAATTTAAGCTCTCAGGCATATCTGTGGACGATACTAAGTTTACGTATGTGTCAGCGAACCTGGAACCACAATACGCCAAGGAGGTGAGAGACATCATAACTAAACCGCCAGCTTCAAATAAATACGAAAAACTCAAAACAGAGCTGATCAAGCGACTATCTATATCACAGGAGAAGCGTGTAAGACAACTTCTCATGCACGAAGAACTCGGAGATCGGAAACCGTCTCAGTTTCTACGCCACTTGACAAGTCTAGCTGGTTCAGACGTTCCATCTGATTTTATAATAACCATCTGGACCAGTCGTCTGCCTGTGAACGTGCAAACAGCAGTCGCTACGATTAAAGGATCGCCAATGGAAAAGCTGAGTGACTTGGCAGATGTCGTATATGAAATGGCCCCAACAGTACCACAGGTGGCAAGCGCGTCTCCCCAAGCCCAAGGTAATGAGCAAGGCAATCCGACGATGACTGAGATGGCCCAGCAAATCAATTCACTGACACAACAAATCAGCATGCTCTCTAAACAGGTGGCTGGAAGAAGCCGTTCAAGAAATACATCTAGGCGCCGCTGGAACGGTCGTTCTCAAAGTCGCACCAAGCCTAGACAACCACCCGCAGATCACCCTTACTGTTTCTACCACTTTACTTATGGGACCAAAGCTCATAAGTGCAAACAGCCATGCAGTTTCGCGTCGGAAAACTCCTGGGGCGGTCGGAAGTAGCGGCCAACGACTGCCCACATTCTTCAGGCCGTCTTTTTATCACCGACCGTACTTCAAAAATGCAGTTCCTAGTGGACACTGGTTCCGATCTGTGTGTTTTTCCACGGTCGGCTGTGAAGGCGCCCTGTACCAAGTCGAAATATGATCTCGTAGCCGCGAATAATTCTATTATACACACTTATGGCCCTGTAACTCTTCATTTGGACTTTGGACTAAGAAGAGACTTCGCGTGGAAATTCACTGTTGCAGACGTATCTAAGCCCATAATCGGAGTGGATTTCTTGTCTTACTACAACTTACTCGTCGATTGCAGAAAACAGCGTATCATTGATGGCATCACTTCTCTGTCTGCAGTCGCGACACCTATCGGGATGACTAAAGACCTTCCTTCTGTCAAAGCCGTCACTGGTGAAACTGACTTCCACGATATTCTGCGAGAGTTCCCAGAAATCACAAGGCCAGCAGGTATGCTCTCTACCACATTTAAGCATAATACCGTCCATCATATTAGAACTACACCGGGACCTCCCGTTGCTTGCAAGCCTCGACGTTTGGATCCAGCACGCATGCAAGCCGCGAAGAAAGAGTTCGAGGATATGTTGGCAAGCGGCGTAGCCCGGCGTTCAGAGAGTGCATGGTCTTCTGCTCTGCACTTGGTGAAGAAGAAAGATGATGGATGGCGTCCTTGTGGCGATTACCGATCACTGAATGCGAGGACGATACCTGATAGGTATCCAGTACGCCACATCCATGACTTCTCACAACAACTTTCTGGATGTTCCATCTTTTCTAAAATTGATTTGGTGAAGGCTTATCATCAGATAGCCGTTAATCCTGAGGATATACCTAAAACAGCCATCACTACTCCTTTTGGACTTTACGAATTTCCATTTATGACCTTTGGTTTGAGGAATGCCGCTCAGACATTCCAAAGGTTCATAGATGAGGTGCTACTAGGCTTCGACTTCACCTATGGATATATTGATGATATATTATTGTTTTCTTCATCGCTAGAAGAACATAAGCGTCATCTACGTCAACTCTTTGATCGTCTCCGGCAGTATGGCATTTTGGTGAACACAACAAAATGTACTTTTGGTCAATCGGTCGTGGAATTCCTAGGATATGAAGTATCTGCTACAGGTACTAAACCATTGGACACTAAAGTCCAAGCTATCCAGGAATTTGCTGCTCCCAAGACTGTGAAAGAACTCCGAAGATTCTTAGGCATGCTTAATTTCTACCGCCGTTTCATACCTAATGCCGCCCAGTTACAAGCTCCGTTGAACAACGCTCTGGCAGGAGTTAAAATGAAAGGTTCACATCCTGTGGATATGGATGCAGTCATGTTAAAAGCCTTTGAGGACTGTAAGACTTCTTTATCTCAGGCAACGCTTTTGTCTCACCCGGATCCAACCGCCGATCTTGCGATTGTCACTGACGCGTCTCTCACAGCGATCGGAGCTGTTCTACAACAAAGGAGAGGTGAACATTGGGAACCACTCGCTTTCTACTCCCACAAGCTTAGTTCCACCCAATCGAAGTACAGTCCATATGATCGAGAATTACTGTCAGTTTATGAGGCAATAAAGCATTTTCGACACATGATCGAAGCGAGAAATTTCACCGTCTTCACTGATCATAAGCCACTGACTTTTGCCTTCTCAGTAAACAGGGAGAAATGTTCACCAAGGCAATTCAGATATCTCGACTACATATCACAGTTTACTACGGATATTAAATATATACCTGGAAAGGATAACGTAGTCGCCGACGCACTTTCTCGGGTGGATGAAGTCGCTCCATGTATCGACTATGAACGTCTTGCACGGTCTCAGGAACAAGATCCAGAGCTGCAAGATCTTCTGCGTAATGGAAGTTCTCTAAAATTAGAAAAGTTATCTTCTGAGTATAGTAGCTTACCCGTTTATTGCGACACCAGTGTGCACCCTCCACGACCATTCATCACAAAAGATATGCGAAGACAAGTCTTCAACACACTGCATGGACTTCATCACCCAGGATCGTCAGCTACAGTCCGACTGGTTGCGCAAAGATTTGTATGGCCAGGGATTCGGAAAGACTGTAGAGAGTGGTCAAGACAATGCTTAAACTGTCAGAGAAGTAAAGTAACTCGCCATACAGTTTCTCCTCTTTCCTCTTTCCTTACTCCTTCGTCAAGATTCACTCATATCCATCTTGACATCGTAGGGCCCCTAAATCTGTCTGCTGGTTTCAGGTACTGCCTCACTGTCATTGACCGCTTTACCCGATGGCCTGAGGCGATACCACTCAGCGAAATTACAGCTGAAGCTTGTGCTGCCGCCCTCGTTACCGGTTGGATCGCCAGATTTGGATGTCCACTGCGGGTAACTACCGACCGCGGTCGTCAATTCGAGAGCCACTTATTCAAAGCCATAGCTGCATTAATAGGTGCTCACCACTTCCGGACTACCGCATATCACCCCGCCGCCAACGGAATAGTCGAACGAATGCATCGCCAGTTGAAGGCAGCCATCATGTGCCATACATCTTCGCAATGGACTGAAGCACTTCCTCTCGTACTGATGGGCATGCGCAGTTCCTGGAAGGATGACATTGACGCATCCCCTGCAGAGCTGGTGTACGGCGAGCCCCTCTGTCTGCCAGGTCAATTCATTTCACCAAATGAAGACTACAAAATGTCTGACGTCACCCAGTATGCAACTCGTCTACGTGCATGCATGGCGAATTTGACACCGAGACCGACATCCTGGCATAGCAATTCACCATTTTATATACCTCGTGATTTACATACAACCTCCCATGTCTTCATTCGACAAGATCATGTGCGTGGTTCTCTGGTACCACCATACGTTGGTCCCTTCAAGGTTGTCAAAAGGCAGCCAAAATTTTTCACTGTCGAAGTTCGAGGGAAGCTTGTAAATGTCTCCATAGATCGTCTGAAGCCGGCCTACATGACGAGAGTTCCAGAAGGTGTATCTCCAACCAAGCCTGTTGAAAAAACCACAAGAAGCGGCCGAAAGATTAAACTGCCTGAATACTATCGACCGTAGTCACGGTCTCGCCGGGGGAGTGATGTGGCGACTCACTTACTAGCCACTACTTGGACAGCCGCCTTACAATTCAACAAAATCGCTGTCGCCTATGAATTCAGGCAATCATCTATTTTTGTTGTTTAACACTTCGAAATCTTAAGAAACTGCGGGCAGTACTCATCGATATTTGCTGTGCTACCCATCGTTCGTGTCAGTGCTTTACTACTCCTATAAGTTATTTCTTTATCGTACCACTCCTGTCATAGTTTGTTTGTGTATATTTGTATCTACAATAAACTATTTAAAGCAGTACATATTAATACTCACTGTGTAAACCATCCTTCGTGTCAGCGCCTACCTAATACAGTTAGAAGCAGAACTAATACAACTACTTCTACAGTGGTACATCTACAGATTTGATGATATCGTATGACTTTGATAATCTTCAAATAAAAGCTAGCTGTTAATTAGTTTATCCATATATTTATTTAGTTATATAGTTAGAAAAACATAACGATATGCTTACTTCTTTGAGTAAGCTGTTCTAGCAGACTAGCGAGAGTGTAATTAGCAGACTTACGAGAGTGTAATTAAATGTAATTAAATGTGAGTCTCCTGCTAGGTAGGTACTTCTTCAGCGAAATTTGTACCAGCAAAAACAGACGTGTTTAATTTAAAAACATAATAAATTCGTTAATTTTTTTTATTGCTTATGTGGGTGGACGAGCTCACGGCCCACCTGGCGTTAAGTGGTTACCGGAGTCCATAGATATCTACAACGTAAATGCCGCCACCCACCTTGAGATATAAGTTCTAAGGTCTCCTTCAAACCGAAACGTATTACTGCTTCACGGCACAAAATAAGCAGGGTGGTGGTACCTACCTGTGCAGACTCACAGGAGGTCCCACCACCAGTAAATGAACGTCAAAAAAGCATGTTACCGCACAGTCTGATACTACGAGTAAAAACGATGTCAGCTCCAAACCTAATAAGAATAGGAAAGTGTCTCTTCTATAAATGCGTATAATCTTTTCCGAGTCATCGGGAGCGACTTCCTTCCCGTCGCATAGTTGGTTCCCGCGGGGCACATCGCACGTCACTACGCAAAGCTTACCCCCAAGAATTTATTCAACTTTATGCATCACAATAGAATAGAAAGACGCGGTGACGCCTTCTTGAGTTGTTAGTAGCTCTATTCAATATCTAATTTGAATTACTTGTCAATAGTGAATTTTTTTTTATTGCTTGTTCGGGTGGACTAGCTCACAGCCAACCTGGTGTCAAGTGGTTACTGAAGCCCATAGACATTTACAACGAGATATAAGTTCTAATGTCTCAGTATAGTTACAACGGCTGCCCTGCACTTCACATCTACAGAAATAATATTGTAGGCCAAACTACTACTGGTTTTTGTGTAGCCCGAACTTGCACAGATATTGTGTTACAAAAAGAAAGCCTTGGAAAGAGCCGAGGCTTGTGGAGAGTACTTAACGGCTCTGCCCCTGGCATTGCTGACGTCCACGGGCGACGGTAGTCACTCACCGTCAGGTAGGCCGTACGCTCATCTATAAGGGCAATAAAAAATCCTAGTTTCCACTTCATTTTTCTGAAATCCCGGTACCTACAACTATAGGCTTTCGAACGAAAAAACCTGTAATATCAGCCTTCCATCTTATGCGTACTGTCTTTCATGTTTTGTTTTAATTTTTTTCCTTTGCCCTAACTATTTGCTGGTAGCTTAAGAGGCTACTCCAGCTACGCCTGGACGGGTAGGTGAGTACCAAGAGCAGTGCTTCACAGAATCTACCACCGAATCGGAAATGCGACCCACTGAAAAGATTGGGCGAGGAACTCAGTGGGCTTATTTGCATCGAATCTTAATACTTGCACGCACATGCTCGTATTATAGACAGAGACAGCAAATAAAGAGAAAAAGAGAAAGGATAGAGGAAGAAATTGAAGGTAGCTTGGTGGGAGGGGCCTTGAGGCTTTTTTCTTCCATGACAGTTTCTAACCGTAAACCGCGCTGAGGAATTTTCATTACGCATCGTTCGATCAACATTTTCATATGGCACGTACTAACAGTTAATTTAAATTATGCAATCAACTCTTACAATGAATCTAAAACAAAAAACCTTACAAAATAACAATAATAATAATAATTTAATAACTAAAATATATTATTAAAAGGAGTCTGGCAGCGTTCCCCCTTTGAATGACTCGACTAATTCTTTGTCCAAGGTAGCTGCCAACTCTTCAGTCTCCTGTGATGTCGAATAACCTTTTTGCTAATTCCTTAAGAAGCCTTATAGCGCTAGGACCCCACGGTAAAGATAAGAAAGAGTGTGACATAGAAAAAAACATATAAGTCTACTGTTTTTTAATACTAACCAATTTTATTAGCTCTAGAAGATTCATATAAATTAGAGGTCCCCCAGTAGTCGAAAAACGACTATAATTAATTGGAATTGTAACTTTGTACACTAATATGTTTGTATTTTATACTTCTATAATCATGAATTTCGCCAAGGCTACACTATAAAAAAATATTAATAAAGACAAACAATATTTAATCTATTCTCAATTTGACCACCGATGTCAAGAACAAAAGTTTGACAATAAATAGTATGCATGCGTGTGTGCGTCAAATACATGGTATGTAGTGTGTGTAATGTTTTCTTTATTGATTTAATGTATCTTTTATGCATTATTTAAAAAAAAAAATTAGCATTGTGCACTTCTTCTCTATATTCTCTATAAGTGTGGAAAATTTCATACTCCTCCGTCCGCCCAATTTTCGTAAAAAGGGATACAAAGTTTTTGCTTCACGTATTAATATATAGATAATTGCAGTAACAACACTGATTCGAAATAACCATTTTAAAGTTTCCAAAGCGAAACGCGAACAATCCTATTTGAAATTTAACACCTGATAAATATTTTACGATCGCGCTTCGTCTGATCTGCGAAGATCCCGGATTGTCCGGAACCGTGATTGAGAGGTCCGCGGGATTGGGCGAGATTTCTCAGGGTAAGAAAATGCTTGACTGTCTGCATAGCGAGATAAGCCGGGATACACCCGAGCACGCGGATTTACTATTCGAATTGTTTTACGGGTACTTTTTAAAATTCAGATTTTCGTTTCGTTCATGCAAGTGTTTTTGTTTTGAGCTTTGCATTGTTTGTATTTTATGCTCTGAATCATCATCATCATTTTTTCTTATCACCCTCTGCTGGGGTGTAGGGCTCGAATCAAATCCTTCCATTTACATCGGTCTTGGGCTGTCTGTTCTAGCTCCTTCCACGTCATGCCCAAGACCCCTAGCTCCTGCTCCACCGAGCGACGTCAACTTGTTCTGGGGCGGCCTCTTTTTCTTTTGCCAGACACTTTCCAGGTCAGTGCTCTCTTTGATAGGTGGATATAGGGTTTTCTTAATATGTGACCAATCCAATATGTTATGAATAGTACGTATTCTTTTTTAAGGAACAAATTAACTAAATAAAGATTATGAACGATTTTAATTTCGTATAAAAACTAAATGCCTTGCCATAATATTAAGTACCGTTGACGTCAAAAACATTTTCCGGCTTCAAACTGCTTAAGCTGAAGGAAAATTAAACTAGTACCTAAAATAAAACTAATCTCGGCTTCCTCGAGCTGACGTAGCGTTTCCGCCATATGTCGATCGTGGTAATGACTAGGTGGTTCAATAGTGTGTCTTGTTCCCGGCTATGTTCCGACTATAATTTTTGTTTCCCTTTTTAACTAACTTTCTTATTTCTATCATATGCAATAACTCAAACAGGTCGATACATCCGATGTCGTGGTTCGTTTGGAGTTCAGACCGCGAAGAGGATTTAGATGATTGTATCTTTGCACCGTATGTTATTAAGGAAGATTTTTATTTCTTTGTTATGTGAATGGGTGAGCGGTAAGTCTATCTGGTGCAAAGTGGTTAGTGAAGCCCGTGGAGATCGAGACGTGAATTCCATCACCAATCTTAAAGTATAAGGTCGAAATAGAAGGTATTAATTAAGTATTTTAGGTATAAGATCAAGATTTTTTTTATTGCTTAGATGGGTGGATGAGCTCACAGCCCACCTGGTGTTAAGTGTTTACTTGAGCCCATAGACATCTACCACGTAAATGCGCCACCCACTTTGCTCTAAGGTCTCAGTATAGTTACAACGGCTGTCCCTCCCTTCAAACCGAAACGTATTACTGCCTCACGGCAGAAATAGGTGGTATCTACCCGCGCGGACTCACAAGAGGTCCTACCACCAGTAAGAAAATCTCATTAGCGTGTACTACAAAGGCTCGTCCACTTTTCAAACAGGAATGTATCTAATCAGTTTGAAGTGTAGGACAGCCTTAATCGAATAAAACGGGCGGCAGTTTTTACGATATGATGTCCATGGACCCTGTTCGTCAAAATAAGTGAGCTCACCAGCCCCAATAAAAAATATTTTAATGAACGAACGTTTTGTAGTTGGCAACGAAAACGCTTAGCGAAGCCAGCTTCCGCCTGAAGCGTTTAGATAAAACTGCTATTTACCTTGTACGTAGCTCGAAAATGAGATTTTTGAAATATATGACAGCACTAACGTATTCACTTTTTTTATCTCAGTACCTGTTTGCTGGTAGTTTGGTCCAAGAGAGAGCACTGAACTGGAAAGTATCTGGCAAATATCTCGGCCGTCCCAAAAACCACTTGGCGTCGCTAAGTAGATCAGAAACTGGACGTCTTCGGCATGACGTGGGGGAAGATTGACTGCCCAAGACCAATGCAAATGGAAAAATTTGATTCGAGCCCAACACCCCAGCAGAGATTAATAGGAAAGAAAGAACAAGAAAAACATTTGCTGATAGTCTAAGGGGTTATTTCAGCTTCGCGCGGATGAGTGGATGAATATTCACGCAGCGTATCAATATTAGACGAAATGGCTTCTTAGTTTCCGTCATGTACAGCTTAGATTCTAGTTTCGTTTCCAGAGATCGATCCTGCGATATTGAGTCAGTATTGTAAATCGTAATTTCCAAAAATAGTGTATGGAAACTGTATTCTTGTTTATTTGACATTCCGAAAGCACGTAGCTGTGGATGAAGATATAGATAGTAATCTTTTTTTTATACCTTAGATGGGTGGACGAGCTCACAGCCCACCTGGCTGTTAAGGGGTTACTGGAGCCCATAGACCTCTACAACGTAAATGCGTTACCCACCTTGAGATATAAGTTCTAAGGTCTAAGTTTAGTTACAACGATTGATCCACCCTTCAAACCGAAACGCATTACTGCTTCACGGCAGAAATAGGCAGGATGGTGGTATCTACTGCGGACTCACAAGAGCTCCTACCACCAGTCAGTATTAGCTGTCACTATAAAAATATCATGTATGGATTCCCCAAAACATCTAGCAGTATTTCTGCGTATTGAAAGATAATACTCAAATATTATTAATTGAATTCCAGTCGAGGGTCGTTTTCAATTTTGGGGCCAAAAGTGAGTTATTTGATTTAATTCTCATAACGTTAATGTTACCGTAATTATAAGTACAGTAAACTTGTTGTCATGACGTGACAAGCACGTGGTCCTACAACAATATATTCGTAAACGCTGTTAAATTAGGAGTTATACATTAAAAACTACCCCAAATCTCATTCGTATCACTGGTTCGAAATTCAAATTCTAACTTGTTTGCTATTTTTTCAGTAATGCGTGTTGAAATTCGGCAATTTTATTAAATCAGTACGTAAGTATAATACAATAATAAAGGAATACTAACTGGATATTAGAACATTCTTAAAAACGAAAGAAGTACGATTTCTAAGCTTTTAAAAAAAGTTCCTATTTAAATTGTCATCCGTGTTGGCATTATCAAATGCGTAAAATGGAAAATATAAATGAATATTATATTATATTATGAATAAAGGAGTGATTGACTTGATTGTGATGAAGCATTTTTTATTCTGAACATGCTTAAATACAAAAAAAAGGGAAAATTAGAGAAAGTTTAAATTCATGAAATCGTTACTTTTTTGGCCGCAAAATTGAAATCGTCCCTCGAACGTAATCTCGCAAATCGGAACGGCAACTTAACCCACAACTAGATCCTTAAGTTGTCTCTATTTGAAACAAATCAAGCTAGATTACTTGGTGTTAAGATAAGGTCAAGTCACGTAATACTTACTTAGTATTCTGTATTCAATTCAATTAATTAGTTGGCGCTGATGGTTCTCAAAGAGGCTCCGGTGTGTTCTGTCGTCTTAGTATTACACAAGAAATTCAATTAGTTTTTTAGTTTGAACTAATCCGCTGCCCTTCAGTGCCAAGAGTCGTCACGTTTTTCAGTTCTTTTTTGTTAAATTATATTTAAGTCATGCATATTATTTATAATTTAAAAAGATTGATCTGTCTAAAAGATATTTTTGTTTTTATGCTAGTCTCTTCTCTGCATTCATTTAATTATGATGAAACTTTGTACGGTCGATTTTAGTATTTTAAGAAATATTTTTGTTATATTACCATCAATAGTTGATGCATGTAGATTCATTAAAAGAGCGTACCTATTTCATATAATATAATCGTTCGCCAAAGTGGAACTTGATCGGTTTTACACTCACATCAATTAAAAGATGTCTAACTGAGAGACAAGATTGAAAAAATAAATTATTTAATCACAATTAGACAATATACACATAATATCAAAATTACTTTATAACTTACTTGTTAATAGACTTACAGACATACATATATATGTACATAATAATTGGTCATCTTCATAGAGAAGAAGGCGTATCATTTGGTGGCCTTAACTGATTTAAAATTTGGGTGGACAACCGCAAAATAAACCCCACTTCAAACTGGTCAGTCACCTCTCTTAATATTTAGAGTATCTACTATACATTACATTCTATTCGTACTATCCTCCTTGTGTCGATAATCCTCATGCTGAGAGTTGTGGCCTCATGAGGCTTTCTTGGGAAAATGGCGTCCTTCCACGGCATTGCTTTTGGAAGAGATTTAGTTCTTCGAGGTCGCTGAAGCCTTATTTGGGTCCGGCTAATTAACCGTCGTCCGACATTCGGCGATGACTGTTTTACGGTCAAAGGTCAAATTCCAACTCAACCCTCCTTTTTTCTCATCCGGGCTTGGGACCGGCATCAGCAGAGTATTAGTTCTGTTACGCCGGTAAGAGTAACGCCATCTATCGCCGAATAGTCGATTGAATATCGAAAGATCTAGTAGCACATAGAATGCTCGAGAATTACGACGCCATCTATTGTCAGATAGCGGAAACACAATTCTCGAAATGTGTGGAATATTCTCGATAATTCTAGGGATATAGTCTAGTATCGGTTATAAAAGCGTTGCAGAGATGGCATGCAATCAGTTAGTAATCGGAACTACTCGAAGCGAAACAGCGAACGGATCACCTGATGCGAAGCGGAAGAAACGAATTGAGAATTTTAAAGTGCTTGTGAAATGTTCTAAATGTTGAACACTGTTCACGCGCATGGCACGTGATCTGCACCAGCGGCGGCGGGGCGCGGGATGTGGGGCGTGAGTGGCGCCACACCGGCAACGAGACTACGACCAATGAGAGCTACAACGGCCGCACGACGCGTGACACGTATTCACAATATTAATACACATCTTTTATTGTCAGATTTGTTTGATTGCTGCCATTCCACATAAGCCAAACCAGCTCTCCCGGACAAATACAGTTTTAAATTTGTACTTCGGTAGAATTTTTATTCATCCCGAACCCCAGCGCCTAACAGTTCTATAATTAGTGCTATTGATTGCTTTATATGATACGATCAAGTAAATAAAAATACCCAAATTGGAAGTATGAAACTCGCTACATAAGCCATGTACCCACCAAAACATCGAAGCGTGATCGTAGCCGACATCTGCCAAGTTTCCGAAGCCCGAGGAAGCCACAATTAACAATGCAAATTCGCGGTGTGAACGCTGCTCTGAATTTCATACATTGTATACATATGGTAATCGAGTTTTGTAACAAGAAAAACCACATGAGGTCCTTGCACCTCGTTAGCGCAGCTCTGAATACTCATCCGCGCTGTATAAGTTTGTTTCCTTCTTTGATCGAATTAGCAGTCTTGTAAGCTTGCTTCTTGTTGATTTGAGTGTTAAATTCTCGTTTTCAGAACTGAAATGTCTCCTTTTGAGGTGCCGCTGAAGGAAAATCCTCTTTAAGCGCAGGAACGTAGAGGCGTTTTTTGCTAATTTAAAATTCAGTTTTAGGTAGTGATTACGTAATGGAAGCTCAGGATCGTAGAATGAAAAGAGTTGATAGAAAAACTAACGAACAAATTATTTGTTGCTTTTCAGGTTTGCACACAAAATGTACTTAAGTGCACCTTTTAATCTAATAAATAATTAAATTTTCCAATTTAAAGAGGTTTCTGGGTGTCAGTAATGCTACCGTCCAATCTATCGCTTCGGAAAAGCAGTGCTGTATTTCTTTTTTAATATTGGGGCAGCTGTTGTACAATGTCATTGATTAACTCTGTAGACCACACTACTAAATCCACAGTTGGCCGTAAGGATACTGCACTATTATAGTGCTTAAGGATCTATTTTTTCCCTACCTATGCTGATAGCCTTGAGAGGCTATATCAGCTTTTCCTTGACATGTAGGTGAGCTCACGGGGCTCAAACCTGGCGTTTTGCTAACACTGGTCCTAGCAAGAGCAATGCTTCGCAGAATCTACCACCGGATCGGAAACACGACCCACTGAGAAGATCCGGCGAGAAACTCAGTGGGCTGTGTCTGTGGGTTAATTCGCTCGTCGAGCCCTCGTCGCAAGCGACGTGTTCGACGAGGACGGTGACCGGTGCTTGTGGTAACTAAAAGCACCGTTAATGAATCGGGAAGGGATCTATGCGTCGCCAGACATCGCACGTCATAACAACAGCAGTAACCTACAAAGAGAGTGACAGAAAAATAAATCTTGTAAAATTCCCAATTTCAATACAAACATTATCACGCGAACGATAAATATTTTATTTTTATTTATGTATTCGTAAAATATTTATTGCGTTGGAAACCGTCACTGAATGCGGATCGGGTTGTAAAATGAAAACAGATTTATTGTTTTTCGTGCATTGTTTTTGTTCGGTGTTCATTTTAGAAGTAAACTGCAAAATTCAATACGAAACAATACCATCCGAAGATATCAGAGCCACCACTTATTCTCCTAAAAGTAATTGTTTTTTACTATATTTGGGCAAATAAAACAATAGTTCAGACACTATAGCATAAATGGACGATCTATTGCTTAAGGGCATCCAGGCCTTCAAATCCGGAGCAATAGTCAACTTTAATAGTGTTACTTATGGGCATGTAAATATTTTGCCTTAAGACTCCTATTTTTATCAATAGGTCATCGTGATCCACGTGGACTTAAGAATCTGTAACAGCTTTTACAGTCTGTTTTTTATGAGTTTCAATAACGAATGAATACAAATTGAGCCAGGGTTTCGTTTGCACGATTTAAAAATAATATTACTTCCTTTTTTCGAATAACTTCTTACTTTATCCGTAATATCTTTCAGTCGTATCCAAGACTTGTACACTGATACCAGATGATGGACCCTGCAGAGGGAACATTCGAATGTACTACTTCGACCCGGCGTCATTGAAGTGTAATATATTCTTGTGGGGCGGTTGCCAGGGCAATGGAAACAGGTTCAAGACCGAGGAAGAATGCATAGGAAAATGTCTTAGTAAGCCTAATGCTGGACGTAAGTAGCCGTTTTTGAAAAAAATTAAAAGTAATTCGTGTTTCATTCAAAAGTAATGCACCGGTGTTCGAATCCCAGACGGGTACCAATTTTTCTAATTAATTACGTACTCAACAAATGTTCACGATTGACTTCCACGGTGAAGGAATAACATCGTGTAAAAAAATGAAACCTGCAAAATTATAATTTGCGTAATTATTGGTGGTAGGACCTCTTGTGAGTCCGCGCGGGTGGGTACCACCGCCCTGCCTATTTCTGCCGTGAAGCAGTAATGCGTTTCGGTCTGAAGGGTAGGGCAGCCGTTGTAACTGTACTGAGATCTTTAGAACTTATATCTCGAGGTGGGTGGCGCATTTACGTTGTAGATGTATGGGCTATGGGCTCCAGTAACCACTTAACACCAGGTGGGCTGTGAGCTCGTCCATCCATCTAAGCAATAAATAAAAATAAAAAAACTTTAGAAATATTTGTATTCTTTCTATTAGGGGCTATTTCAGTTAGGTTGTGACTGGTAGGTGAGCTCACGGGGCTCAACCTGAGAGAATGTGCTATCACTGGCCATAGCAAGAGCAGTGCTTCGAAGGGTCTATCATTGGATCTGAATCGGGACCCACTGAGAACACCAGGCGAGAAGTTCAGTAGGTTATGGATATTGGCGAAGATTTGCCATGTACTACATACTATACGCTGATTGAATAAAATTTAGTTGCTGTTATTCTTCCTATTCGTACACTCTTGACAAAGTGGTCGTGGTCATGCATCAGTCGGATCCTGCGATACCGATGCTCTCGCGATGTGACGCCATGTGGCACGATGTTTCGCAGAGTGAGAGCAAACATTTATGTTGGTTGCTGTTATAGTCTGTTGCAAATAAACTCTTTTTCTTCTCAGCGCACCGTCCGCGTTGGTGCAACCTGTCATTTGACTATGGTTTCTGCTTCGGGAACGAGGAAAGATGGTACTACGATCATCTCTGGAGAGTTTGCAAGAAGACCCTTTATTCGGGTTGTGGAGGCAACAAAAATAACTTCTATAATCAAGAGCAGGTATCTTTGAAATTGAAAAATAGTACTCTGTTCTCATTCTCATTTTTAGTAGTTTCATTTCTCTGACATTAGAAACTAATGCGACACGTACATTTGAAATTTAAAATCCCTAAATTTTTGTAGTACTTAGCGCAATGTTATCCAAAATTTTACATTTTTTTTAGTTATTGCTTAGATGGATGAACGAGCTCACGGTATACCTGATGTTAAGTAGTTACCGGAGCCCATAGACATCTACAACGGAAATGCCGCCACCCACCATGAGATCTGAGTTGTAAGGTCTCAGTATAGTTACAACGGCTGCCCCACCATTTAAACTGAAACGCTTTACTGCTTCATGCCAGAAATTGGCAGGGTGGTGGTACCTACCCTTACGGACTCAAAAGAGGCCCTACCACCAGTAATTTTTAAATATACCTTCGTTTTAACAACTTCGCTATGATTGTACTACAGTGTGAGTCGGTATGTCGCTTCGGACATGAAGGTCTTATGAAGGTCCAAGAAAAGAAAGATAATGGAGGCATGAGTAAAATTCTCATTATCAACCCTGAGAACGCCACAAAGAAAAGAGGAAGAATACAAAAGACAGTACCAACAACGCCTTCTAATGCTAAAGTTCAATGAGATAAATCAATTGCGCATTGGAACTTTATTGTTTTATTTTTAACACGCTTTTATTAGCTTCAGACGTATGTATGATTGTAACGGAATCTTTGAACATGATTTTGACCCCCTTCAAAACGTCGGATTAACTCGAAATTTTGTATACCTATTAAAGGCCGATGACAATTTAATATTTTAACAAAACATTCTCACTCACGACTCGGTCGCGCGCGGACGTGCTTTCCGATCCGTGGCCCGCTTGCGAGCTGCGTCTCTGAACTCACAGTTGTGCTCGACAGTGTAGTGACCGTGAATACATCGTGCTTACAATTCGGTAGTGCGGACGTTCCGATCCGTTGGTCGCTTGCGATTTGCGTCTCGGAGTCCATTTTTGTGCGCTAAAGTGTTGTAACCGCGAACCCACCCTTTACCAACTGCCTTTTTCAAGGCAAAACCAATCGCTACGATCAGGCTTCCTGTGGCACTATCATAGGNCTAACCCATAGACACAGCCCACTGAGTTTCTCGCCGGATCTTCTCAGTGGGTCGCGTTTCCGATCCGGTGGTAGATTCTGCGAAGCACTGCTCTTGCTAGGGTCAGTGTTAGCAACTCTCCGGTTGAGCCCCGCGAGCTCACCTACTAACGTTAGGGCGAAGCTGAAATAGCCTCTCAAGGCTATCAGCATAGGTAGGGAGAAAAAAAAATATTTAAAAAATATTTAAAAAAATATATTTAATAAATGAAATTCAACTAAAAAATGAAAAATAAATAATGGTTTAAAAAAAGTAACAAAATATGTTTTTATAGAAAATTCAACTAAAAATAGAAAACAAATTTTAATAAATTTGAATTAAAAATAGTGCAAGAAAAAATGATTTTATTGTAAAAAAAAGCTTGTAAAAAACCGTAATTTTTTTTATTAAAATTTATTTTCTATTTTTTAGTTGGATTTTCTATAAAAGTGTATTTTGTTAGTTTTTTAAAACTATTATAATTTATTATAATTAGATTTCCAATAGATTTAAAATCATCATGACGTGTCGGTGAGATGCGAGAAAAACCGTAAAATAGTTTTTTTTTTATTGCTTAGGTAGGTGGACGAGCTCACAGCCCACCTGGTGTTAAGTGGTCACTGGAGCCCATAGACATTTACAACGTAAATGCGCCACCCACCTTGAGATATTAGTTCTAAGGTCTCAAGTATAGTTACAACGGCTGCTCCACCCTTCAAACCGAAACGCATTACTGCTTCACGGCAGAAATAGGCAGGGCGGTGGTACCCACCCGCGCGAACTCACAAGAGGTCCTACCACCAGTAATTACGCAAATTATAATTTTGCGGGTTTGATTTTTCTTACACGGTGCTATATTCCTTCACCGTGGGAGTCAATCGTGAACATTTGTTGAGTACGTATTTCATTAGAAAAATTGGTACCCGCCTGCGGGATTCGAACACCGGTTCATCGCTCAACACGAATGCACCGGACGTCTTATCGCTTAGGCCACGACGACTTCAAAAGTGACATGTGACGTTGAAATTTGTTTTTACAAAAACTATAAGACCTCAACATAAACATTCCAGACGTTGAAAAAAATTGAACTTTTATAAAACTGGACAGCATTGTTGATTTGCAGCAGAAATAGCGGAACGGTGGTACTTCCGTATCAATTTATAATACATTCCGTAAACTACTGTTTTCAGATAGTTTCACGACCATACAAAATATATGAGACATGCTGAGATGATGATGAGATAAAACATTCGAATATTGACGAATCCAAATTATGGAATTAGGTATGCCAACATTTGTAAAAGAAATATCCGTTATAGCTGATATAAAAATTGATTGAGATCAAAAAATTAGCGGAAAACAGCGGCTTGGCTCTGCCTCTGGCATTGCTGAAGTCCATGGGCGACGGTAACCACTCACCGTCCGGTGGGCTGTATGCACTTCTGCCTACAAGGGCAATAATAAAAAAGTTAAGTCAAAAACATACTTGCAATAGCAGTTTAAAAAAAAGATTATGATTACTACCGTCACGTATTTATTAAACAAGAAGAATATTAAAAACATAAAACAAAACAACACCTTACAGCTTAGATAGGCAATAAAACATTGAACTAAATTAACTATCGTATAATAAATTACCATTTGGGATGTTTAAAAACTAGGATTGTTCTAAAGCCTTGTCCAATAGTAGTTTGTAGTTGCTGTAAATCCATTCGGACCTGAAAATTATATTACAATAAGAAAAGGTCCGCCTAAAAGAAGTGAAACTCCTTTTGCGGTGTGTAGTATTGTGGTTTTGTTCGTTTTTCATTCGTAAATCAAATTTATCTTGTCATGGGAAATGCTGTGTATAAGAAAAACGAGCTATCTCACTTCGTCCTTTCTCTCTCTTCAAGGTCGAGTAGTTCGTGAGACGTTCTGTCTATTTTCTCACTCTCGCTCGTCCTAAATTGTATCTTTTCTCTCTAGCCGTAACGAATCTTTGGCAATTTAAATTTTACTCTCAACGCGTCTAAAGAAGTTTCACTTCAAAAACAAGACAGAAATTTCATCACCTCCTTTTTATAATTGTCCTTATCGAGAGAGCAAAAATAGCCACTATGACTTCAAACTATTTTGTTTATTTATAGCACGTTTGACGCATGTCAATTATGTAAAGGCTGTTTTACTAAAAATCGGATCGTAAAAATATTTCACTAAAAAGCTTCGTGACAACTCTATCTATTTATTAATACATGAAGCAAAAACTTTGTATCCCTTTTTACGAAAATTGCGCGGACGGAGGAGTATGAAATTTTCCACACTTATAGAGAATATAGAGAAGAAGTGCAAAATGCTAATATTTTTTTTAAATAATGCATAAAAGATATATTAAATCAATAAATAAAACATTACACACACTATATACCATGTATTTTACGCACACACGCATGCATACTATTTACTGTCAAACTTTTGTTCTTGACGTCTGTTGTCAAATTGATATTAAATATTGTTTGTCTTTGTTAATATTTTTTATAGTATAGTCTTGGCGAAATTTGTGATAATAGAAGTATAAAATACAATCATAATAGTGTACAAACTTACAATTCCAATTAATTATAGTCGAATTTCGACTACTGCGGGACCTCTAGTACAAATAAATAAGCTTGGAGTTTCTATTTGTAATATTAAAATAAACGCTTTTTACTACATGTATTTGAATGTAACGGTATAAACGGTACACAATAATACCAACTTAACATTTATTTATCTTAATTTTTATCTGTCTGTTTGTTCCGGCTAATCTCTGGAACGGCTGGACTGATTTTGATGGAACTTTAACTGGCTGATAGCTGGTTTAATAAAGATTAACTTAGACTACATATTTTTATTTTGTTAAATTCCATGCGGACAAAGTCGCAGGCACTGCTAGTCAGTCTTTATGATGCTACTCATCTATGCGGCCTTGCAATATGCGTATACATTAACCAACCTGTTGTTGCTGACTTTAGCTAGAAGATTGAAAATATATGAGGGACACTCTTCTGGGTAAAACACTCGAGCACTAAACAGGGTACCCTGACATATACAGTACAGGAGTTCTGGTAACGGCAAACGTGCGGGCAGTAGCTTTTTCTCATACAGTATTGTTGAATATAACTGAAAAGGTATATTAAGTTTTACGGAGTGGGTCTAAAATTTAGAGCTTACGGCAGCACGAAGCTGGTGCTGAAGCATGAAGCTCTATTACTGGTGGTAGAACGTCTTGTGAGTCCGCACGGGTAGGTAGAACCATCCTGCCTATTTCTGCCGTGAAGCAGTAGTGCGTTTCGGCTTGAAGAGCGGGGCAGCTGTTGTAACTATGCTGGGACCTTAGAACTCATATCTCATGGTGAGTTGCGGCATTTATGTTGTGTTTGGGCTCCGGTAACCATATAACATCAAATGGGCCGTGAGCTCCAACTATCTAAGCAATAAAAAAAGTTCATTGAGTGAACTCTGTCTTATGATTATAATATATGTATATATAGACTATAGTATAGACTTGATGACGTCTAAGCCTATTAAAAAATGGAATTCATTCGAAACGTGACCAGCGAATCTAAATTTATTCACAAACAAGATGCCTTTTTATAACATACTATTTTTAGGTACTTAATGATGTACAAACTCCGAGTACATTTGAATTTATGTATGGTAAGTACATTAACATAAAATCAATGAGTTAATTACAGTAGCTATATTGAGGGTCGATGTTTGATATCGAAAACTTTCATAGGTCTTATTTAGGTGAATGGAAAGCTATTATATTTATTCGCACTATTTACCTTCATAGCTCCTGTCATTGCTCCAATAGCTATTCCCAGACTAGGGCTGAAAATGAATGATAATCCGGCCAAACAGCCAGCTGGTAAAGCGTATATTGCAGAATCACATCCTCTCTTGCGGCACAAATAACATATCACAGCCTGAAAATTATAATATAGTAAAATCATTTTGGTTTAGATATTTGTGCAAATGTAGGTTTGATTGGATTCAACTATGACTTTATAAGAATATTTCTGAAGCTATGTGTAGCACTTTAGTGTTCGCCATCGTTCAAGTCAAATCCGTCGCTTGCAACGAAGGGATCGGCGAGTCAATTAACCCACAGATACAGCCCACTGAGTTTCTCCCTGGATCTTCTCAGATGGTCACGTTTTCGATCCAGTGGTAGATTCTGCGAAGCACTGCTCTTGCTAGGGCTAATGTTAGTAATGACGTAAGCTTTGAGCCCCGTGAGCTCACCTACTAGTTCGGTGAATCTAGAATAACCCCTAGAGGTTACTGGAACAAGTAGAAAAAAGCTATCCAGCTAAGGGTTAAGTGCTTGCTACAGATATCGGTTTTTCGTGATAATTAGAGTGTTTTAACTAGGAAGCTCTAATCGCATTTGTCTTGGTCGTGGACCGTATTACCTGGGACAAGCTATTCTTTAGTTCTAGTACTATTTTTAATATTATTCTTATTTTTCTTACGCAATTGATACGGTGATAATGAATGTACAGTTGATATTAATAGTAATTCCCGAAAAACTGTTGTTTAACCATTTGAACAAAAACTTATGATTGCAGTTCGGCAGAAACAGGCAACATGAAGGCAGCTACCGGTTTGTGACTCGCAATGTCTCATATAACCATCAATGATCTATTTAATGAGTTTTTTTGTCTATGACTTTCCTTCACCCTGAAAGTTACATGGACGATTCTGATCATGGCGTAGTGTCGTCGCTCTATATCAGCATACCGGGCATTTTGCCATTTAAGCTACATTTCATTTCACACATTAAATCGATCGTCCATCAAATCTCCGCCCCCATTCTATTTTAATACCTAACGACACGAAACAAATCGTACTCTGTAAATACCGATATAAGAACCGAAGAACATCGCCAGTTTCAAATGTCTCGTCCTCAATGAAGCTATAGCGGTCATAGGTGAGCGAATCCTTGGTAATATGAGTCTTGCGACAGTAAACGCTAGGCCAAGTGCGAAGTATGTAGCCGTACCCTGAAAGTAAGAGTATATTTAATTCCTCCTGCTTGCATCGATAATCCTCAATGCTGAGGGTCGTGGCTTCATCTAACAACTTTTTCATGGATTATCCTGCGCAATTTCTGCCTATTCTCAGCTATGTGGATAGCATTATATGGCAGATTTACTAGTGGTTGGACCTCTTGTGAGTCCTCACGGGTAGGTATCATCACTCTGCCTATTTCTGCCGTGAAGCAGCAATGCGTTTCGGTTTGAAGGGTGGAGCAGCCGCTGTAACTATACTGAGACCTTAGAACTTATATCTGAAGGTGGGTGGCGCATTTACGTTGTAGATATCTATGGGCTCCAGTAACCACCTAACACCAGGTGGGCTGTGAGCTCGTCCACCCATCTAGGCAATAAAAAAATAGCAACGTGGACGTGAAGTGTTGAGAGGAAGCGTATCTGGTCCGACCAGCGCATTGGACTTCTGCCTTGGGGCCTTCTTCCGCATACCTTGCCTGTTACCAGCAGCTTCTCCAAAATTGTCCAAATTTCTGGCAATGTGTCCTAAAAACTCGAAACTCATCCGCGCGCAGTACTGTGGCGAATTGGAATCTTGAATATTTAATTAAGAACCAAAAATATCTAAGTTAAGAAGGAACAACAGAAGAGATAACTGGTGGTAGGGTTTTTAACTGGTGGTAGGGTTCTGTGTAGAAGCCCGCCCGGGTTGGTACCACCGTCCTGTCTATTTCTGCCGCAAAACAGTAATACTGTGTTCCGGTCTGAAGGACAGGATAGCCGGTGTAACATACATAAGGCTGCCCATCCAGGCCAGGATAGGCAGCGCATCTGAGTCACTGATGTAGTTTGGATGTCTATGGGCGACGGNTGGTAGGGTTCTGTGTAGAAGCCCGCCCGGGTTGGTACCACCGTCCTGTCTATTTCTGCCGCAAAACAGTAATACTGTGTTCCGGTCTGAAGGACAGGATAGCCGGTGTAACATACATAAGGCTGCCCATCCAGGCCAGGATAGGCAGCGCATCTGAGTCACTGATGTAGTTTGGATGTCTATGGGCGACGGTTATCATTTCCCATAAGATGAGCCGTAAGCTGGTCTGCCTATCGAAAGCAATAAAAAAAAAAAAAAAAGGAGGTTGTAGAGAAGAAATGGTATACCTCCAACGCGCAGACATTTGAGAGCCGTTTATTATTTGCTTGTAAATCGAGACATGGTCATACCTTCTCAAACTGTATTTATAGTGAATTCATATATTCAAAAGGCGCTTCAGGTTGCTCAATACTAAACTTATTCTCGATATTCGAAGCCTCAGTAAGAATTATGTGGAATAATCACTCTTTTTAACAAAATCGTATTGTGTCTCTTTTGTGGGATCTCGTCTGTAATTTATGGGGATTTCGTTTATTCTAATTTAAAAATAATTCGCCCTGACAATACTCGTAGTCGCGTAGATAATAATTAACTCAATTATAATAAAAATAACAAATAGACCTTTGTCGATAATTACACAAATATTATTATAGATTATCAATATTTGTTCTACTATTTTTATAATTACCATATCATAATATTGTGATTAAATTGCTACTCACTATTGATACTAAAACATAATAAAAGTAAAATTATTATCTATTTGTTTTTATTTACCTATTTCGTATGTAGGTTAAATAATTAAAATAAACAATAATTTGAAACACAGAGCCTAATTTCAAGGCTCATGTTATTTTTGTTTAACTGGGAGGACGAGTTTAAGATCTTCCTGGTGTTAACTGGTTAAAGAGGTCCACAGACATCAACAAAGTAAATGTCGCCACTAACCTTGAGACATGATTTCTAAGTCTCGGTATGACCTACCACCAGTAATATTAACACAGTTGGATCCCATTTGGATCCAAGAAGTTCGTTCTCGTTCGTGCTCGAGAGCGGATCGAATATGGCTACTCCTGTGACGGTATCTGAGAAAAATGTGAATACGCTTAAATGTGTGAACTGTAACATAGTTATTAGTGAACTATTGTCATTTGTCCAAAATAAGATCACAGTGACTGATAAAGAAAGTTTAATTCGGATCTGTTCATCTGCTTTTTCTGAAGAGGAGGTGGAAAGTGCTAAAGAATTGCTTTTTAGTTCCCTAAAAAGCTCGCTAAAAAGTACTCAGAAGAAGATTTCTAGGCGCAAAGAGGGGAAAAAGCAAAGGAATCTAGAAGATATAATATGTGTTTTCAAAGTGACCGAACCCGACACAATACCAATATTTGTAGCGCGTGACTTGCAAAAATTACCGCCCGTAACATTTGATCATGTAGATGTTACCAAATTGCTAAAAGACTTGATAATTATGCGTGCTGATATTAATGGCATTAAAGACAATTACGCAACAACAAAGCAATTAGATGAGCTAAAAAATAATTTGGAATCATACAGGTCAACAACTCCATATTTAAACTGTAATATAAATACGAAAAAAAGGGGGTATGTACAAAATAGTGTAGAGGCTGTTTTATCGCCGGCCGGTAACAAAGTGACGACAAGCCCGAACCCGGAACGTGCTGAGTCATTTAAGAATTTAACTCCCTTTCCTGCACAAACTAAGACAGATCAGGCAAGTACGCTTGCTTCCAATAACTCGATGTCGATGGAACGTGAAATATGCGCACAAATGTCAGAATCATCGGACTGTCAACATATAGTTCATAATGACAGAATACAAAACCATATAACCTCAAAGTCGAAGGAGCCCACTATGGCTGATATAGTAAGACACGGCAAATTTATAATGAGAGATAAACCAAACGATGAATGGATTTCTGTACAAAAACGTAGGTACAGAAACCGTTTTGAGGGAAAAACTGGGAAAGCTGTGACGAAACTAAACGAGAAATTTAAAGCGGCCGAAATCAAAATCCCTTTGTTTATCTCTAACGTAAACAAAGAGACCACCGAAGATGATATCTGCCAATATATTAAATTTAAAACATCTGAAGCTGTTTCGTTGGAAAAAATCATAATGAAAAAGGAAAGATCCTATAATGCATTTAAAGTTTTAGTGAACAAAAACAAATTAGAAATGTTTTTGAACGACGAGATGTGGCCCGATGGAATTACATTTAGACGTTTTATCCATTTTAGGGATAGAAAAAAAGAAGGAGAAAACGTTTCTCAAAGCGGTGAGTTAACAATATAAATGGATAGTACTGCAAAAGTGAATATAATTACATTTAATTGCAAAAATGTGAAAAGGTCGTTGAATTGTGTACGTACATTGTGCAAGACGGCTGACATTATATTGCTACAAGAAACTTGGCTATATCCCCATGACTTATCTTTTCTTGGAAATATACATGAAGAATTCAGTTATACTGGGAAGTCCTCAGTCGACACTTCAGCCGGTATTTGTAAAGGCAGACCCTATGGAGGCCTTGCCATATTATGGAGAAAAAGTGCATTTAATTATGTATCTGTAGTGAAAATTCAGAGTAATCGAATATGTGCAGTAAAAATATTAGTTAGTAATCGATCATTTATGGTTATTAATATGTATATGCCAACAGACTGCAATGAAAATTTACCAATGTTTACACAATGTCTTGGTGAAATGTATTCTCTAATAACAAATTGTAATATTGAAACAGTATTTGTGTTGGGGGACTTCAACGCACATCCTGGTGAGTCTTTTTGCGATGAGCTTATTGGTTTTTGTACTGAGCAAGAATTAATATTTGCAGACATAGAGTATCTTGGTGCATTGTCACAAACTTATACTTTTATTAGTGACTCACATGGGTGCAAGCGTTGGCTTGATCACTGTCTTGTTACACAGTCTGCGTCTAATGCAATCCTGGATATTGAGATTATTTATGATTCATTCTGGTCAGACCACTTTCCATTAAAAATTATGTGTGATATAAATGTTATACGAGAGAAAAGGTGTGATATTAAAGTTGCTTGTAATGGGATACGTTGGGGAGAAAGAAATATAAATGAAATAAATAAATATTTAGATTTATGTAATAGTGAATTGAAGAACCTAGACTTCTTAAATGATTTTGAATTATGTGCAGATAAATTTTGTGATAATCTACACCATAAAAGTTTGTTAGATAAAATGTATAAAAAAATTGTAAATATATTAAGTAATGCTGCCTGTAATAGTAAAGTACCGGGAGGTATTATAGGAAAAAATAGAGGTATAAAAGGTTGGAATAAACATGTAAAAGAATTTCATAAACAAGCAAGGATTAAGTTTAAATTATGGATGTGGTATGGGCAACCCAGCTGTGGCCCTATTTTTGAGGACATGAGAATAGCTCGTAAAATCTTTAAATCTAGATTAAAATGGTGCATTAAAAACCAAGAAAAAATTGAAATGGACATTTTGGCTTCTCTTCATTCAAAAAAAAGTTTCTCATCATTTTGGAAGAGTACTAAAAAATTTGATAAATCACCAAGTCTTCCAGTTAGCGTGGAGGGTGAGAGTGACTACATTGGAATAGCAAATATATTTAAAGATCATTTTAAAGTAATTTCTCCATTAAAGACAGCATCGTTGAGGAATGGTGCTGAGTTCTGTCAATCAGGTTTGCCAGTTCATTTTACATGTAAAGAAATAAAAACTGTGATAAAGGGTATGAAAAGAGGCAAGTCTCCTGGTAATGATGGACTCAGCATCGAGCATCTCCAGAATTCTGGTGTTCACCTGCCGAGAGTTTTGACTATGTTGTTCAATTTGTTTGTAGGGCATTCTCACTTACCAAGGGAGATGTTGGACACAATAGTTGTACCTATTGTAAAAAACAGGACAGGAGACATAGCGGACAAGGGAAATTATAGACCAATTTCACTGGCAACCGTCATAGCCAAGGTGTTTGACAGCGTGCTTGACTCACATCTCAGTGGATACACTAAACTGCATGATACACAGTTTGGATTTTGTGCTGGGCTATCTACTGAGAGTGCCATTTTTGCACTGAAGCATGCTGTCAAATACTACACTGATAGGAAAACACCAGTGTATGCCTGTTTCCTGGACTTATCAAAAGCCTTTGACCTTGTTTCCTATAATATCTTGTGGGAAAAGCTACTGGGAGAGGGTGTACCTCCTTCATTAGTAAATATATTATCTTTGTGGTATGAGAAGCAGAGGAACTTTGTACGGTGGTCCAACGTACTGTCGGACCCTTACAAACTAGAATGTGGTGTAAGGCAGGGTGGTTTGACCTCCCCGAGGCTCTTTAATATCTATGTAAATAAGCTACTTGAGGAGCTCAGTAGCACACATGTTGGTTGTCATATAGATGATTTGTGTCTTAATAACATTAGCTATGCGGATGACATGGTGCTGCTGAGCCCATCAATATGTGGGTTAAGAAAGTTGCTTTCCATATGTGAATCCTATGCTGAGGATCATGGCTTAAAGTATAACCCTAGTAAAAGTGAGCTGTTGGTGTTCAGAGGTGTAAACAAAAGTCCACCTCATGTCCCGCCTCTAATGCTCGGTGGCTTACCTGTACAAAGAGTAACACAGTTCAAATATCTAGGGCATATTGTAACTGAGGAATTAAAAGATGATATGGACATGGAAAGGGAACGCAGGGCATTGGCTGTCAGAGGGAATGTAGTGGCACAAAGATTTGCAGGTTGTTCAGTGCCGGTCAAAATTACCCTCTTCAAGGCTTACTGCCAAACCTTTTACACAAGCGGTCTTTGGGCTACTCATACCCAAAAAACGGATAATGCCCTGCGCATACAATATAATAATGCCTTCAGGGCGTTGTTGAGGCTTCCACCTTATTGTAGTGCATCAGGCATGTTCGCCGATGCGCACACGGATGACTACTTCGCGATAATGCGCAAAAAGGTGGCATCCATTATGCGTAGAGTAGGAGGAAGCACCAACAACGTCTTGAGGGTACTAGCTGAAAGACTGGATGGCCCGACCCTGGGTAGGTTCATCAAGTTGCATGTTCTACATGCTGCTTGATGGGGCTGCCAGGGACGGAGTTGATTGGTTTATTTAAATACTAACATAGTTCATAAGTTATTTGTAATACTAACACAATATGAGACTTTAGTCTTGAAATAAAAGTTTTTTATTTATTTATTTTTATTGTAATATCCTAAATATAATCGCTTAGCCACGAGATCTGTGATTGGTACTGATCCACGATTGGCTGTAACTGTTTACATTTTATTTATTTTTTGCTAAAAGTAGTCACGTAATGAGATGTGTTTTTGCGAGTACCCAAATGTAACTAACTTCGCCATTAAGCAAGTGTTTATTAATTATAGAAACCCAAATATGTAATTACTTATACAACATTTACAGACACGTGATTATACTAAAGCTAATAACAGATTTTAAGTACCACTTAACGGTAACTACAATGATTGATGAACTTACTGTAAAATTATAAAAAGAGCAAATATGATAAGTATAGTTGAAGTGGAAGGTGTAAGTAGAAGCAAGAAGTTTTAGTAGAAGTAGTAGTAGTAGAAGAAGCAATTTTTAACACGGACCCTGCTACTGAAAACATAAAAAATTAAAGTTAGTTTATAAAGATATTAAATTACCTTAAAGATATATTTATGACAGGAGCCTTGGTGAGGACAAACATTATTTGAATCATCTGTTTTTCGTCTCACCTTGTCCGGGGTAAATAACCTGTTTTCAAAATAAACTTATTATTGTACGAACTATGTGCTGATAAATTGAAAACGTTAAAAGAATTACCCAAAGATTGTATTTTCATTACATTCATAGAATGACCTATATCGACATTAAGTTAGATGATCCTATGTTCATTATAGCCTGTTTGGCTGTTGACTCATCTTGAGTAGGTACTGCCAAACATCGGCCATGACTAGCAGCTGCCTGTACATTTCTTTAACAAAACCGAAGTAGTACCACATTATTTTTTAGGATCTTGTCCTTCGTGAATTATTTCTGAGAATATCCCTTATTCAGTTCATATGGGTCTGTACCACTATCCTATCTTTTGAACATGCTTTCTTTAGCTTTGTATATATGTATATATTTGTATGTAATGTGAACTTTGAACGTTATTTAAACCAACCGAATCACGTCTGATTAACTTGAAAATTTGAAAAAAATTATTATCAATGGAATAAAAAAAGAAATCGGTTTTCTATTTAAGCGTGTTCTTTAATAAACTATTTAAAATATATTTATTATTCTTCTAAGAAGCATTCGTACGTTTTTTCTTTATAAATCAACAGAAAATAATAATAAATTATACACGTAATTAAAAGAATAGGAATTCAGTAAAAACGAATGCTGCTAAAATAAAAGCTGCTTTAAAATTATGCACAGTAAATATTGATCAAGAATTTTCAATTAATTTAATTCGTGATTCAAAAGATTACCAACGTCCATTGAACTCTACAGCAAAAGTCAACATGAATAGTTCCAAACGCAAACTGATTGAACAGAACAATGACAAACGTTTTGCGCTAAATGCATAGCGTATACGGCAGTTGCATTGTTATATGTCGTTCGCGATAAATCCGTATTTGAATTGGAATAATTTAAATGCTACCGATTAAACAATCTCTATCAGCGCCTCAATACGGAATAAGTTAAAGTTGTATAGCGTTGAGGAGAATTTTAAGAAGATCTTAAACATTTTTTGGACTGTCGGTCTACCAATCAAATTCGTAGGAAGATTTTCCCTTCGTTTTTTCCTGTGTCTATAGAACATAAGTGCCAAACAAATCTTGTAAAATTTCATGGATTCAGATATTTGCTTCTTTCTGCCGTGAAGCAGTAATGCGTTTCGGTTTCAAGGGTGGGGCAGCCGTTGTAACTATACTGAGACCTCACAACTTATATCTCAAGGTGGGTGGCGCATTTACGTTGTAGATGTATATGGGCTCCAATAACCACTATCAGGTGGGCTGTGAGCTCGTCCACCCATCTAAGCAATAAAACAAAAAAAAAATTGAACGTATTATCTCTGCTAAGTGTAATGAAAAGGACCAAATAATGTATGCAGTCATTAAATTTAGTTACTAATTTCCAAATATTGGCTACGAGGTAAGATTAGAATAATTATCGTTGACATTAGTACAATGTGTGTCCACTGTTTTAAAATTCAATTAGGGATATTGTTAACTTTAAAATGCTTATTAAAAATCTTGATTTCGATTTAAAAACAATCCATTCTTTAATAATATATGATAATTACTTCACGTATCTAATTATTATTATAGCAATGATTTCACATTTTGCGTTTTAAATTTAATTAAGTTTTTGTTACTTTTTTGCGCAAAATTAATTAATGGCACTTTGGAGCTAAAAAGGCATTAAATAATTAATATTTAGTTTATTATAGTCAAAGAAACTAATTATTTTATTATTAGGTTTTAATGTTAATTAAGATTTGATTTAGAATAGTTTTATTTTATTAATATGCACATTAAATTTAATAGATAGTTCGTCAGTTATTTTGTTTAATATAATAGATAGTAAGTTTTCTATTTACCAAAACAATTGGGTCCTTTCTTTTTTATCTCCCTCTAATCGCATTAAGTAGAAAAGGAGCGCGCTGCCCAGCATAAAAAGTGCGGTAGTTCGGATTTTCGTAATTTTAATATATGCAGCTCTTTCCAATCTCCGAAGCCAGTATTCTATATACTGAAAAGTTTAATCAAATTTATGTCTTTGTGCAATTTTTTATTGTCTGCGAGCGAACAGATTTTGTTTCCCATGGTGACGCATCGTAACTTAATTATATAAAATTTGCATAGATGATTTATTGAAATCAAAATTTACATGATTAGAGTAAAGTAAGTATAAGTAAAAATCAAACTCGCAAAATTATAATTTGCGTAATTACTGGTGATAGGACGTCTTGTGGGTCCGCACGGGTCGGTACCACCACCCCGCCTATTTCTGCCGTGAAGCAGTAATGCGTTTCGGTTTGAAGGCTGGGGCAGCCGTTGTAACTATACTGAGACCTTAGAATTTATATCTAAAGGTGTGTGGCGCATTTACGTTGTAGATGTCTATGGGTTCCAGTAACCACTTAACACCAGGTGGGCTGTGAGCTCGTCCACACATCTAAGCAATAAAAAAAAAAAAGGAACCGATTTTGTTTCCCATAGTGACGCATCGTAACTTAACTATAATAAAATTTGCATAGATGAACAGTTCAGTATTTATTGAAATCAAAATTGATGTTATTAGAGTAAAGTAAAATCCAAAGACGCATAAAAACGATTTTTGTTCGATGCTCAAATTTGATGAATTTGGTCACGAGATGGTCACGAGATCCGGTTTGTTACAAGAAAGAAGCTAGCCGTCTACTTAGTATTCCAACTAAAATATCATCAAAGTAAAAAAATCTGAACATATCCAATGCGAAATCAAACTATGCGTATTTAGGGGAATGAGTGCAGAGGATTTTAGACTTGTAATTTATAAAAGGCCTACTAGTTATTAGTTAATCTGTAACATAAAAAGGATAACACATTTTTTCTTTTTAGTGACAGGGTTTCTTTAGTGTGGAGCAACATTTTAATAAGCAGAACGACCGAGCTTATGCTCAAAGCTCCACGAAAGCTTCTCGATTAATCAGTAAGGGGTAGAACGTGGGCATTGTTCGGCTTCAATGCGGCTTTGGTGGGATGTTAGTTATCAAGGAGTGACTGTCGTTATTTGTGTTAAAAAGTTTTAAAACTTCAACCTAGGGATACCAAACACGATTGTGGATTAATATTATCAAGTTTCATAGCCATTTGTGTGAAACTCACATCTCACATCACTTGGATCACTAAGCTCGATCTAAACAAGCTAATCTGTAAAAGAGCTTTATAAAAGCCGAAGATTAGCCGTTGTCTAATGCGAATCGTAATCTGTTTGACTATGCTTTATAGTCTCCTTGGAAATGGTTATGGCATTTTTCTAAACGACATTGGATAATTTGGCGTGCATAAATTCTATAAAATTAGCAGTGATTAATTTACCTATGAGAAAATCGCATATTTCAATGTGTGTTTGTTCAAGTGGCGTTATCTGTAATAAGGCTAACGGACATCGTTTGATGTACCTACCTAATGAATTTAATATTTTTGTAATATTATTATACTAATTTAATGTGACGCGAAAGGAAAAAAATACAACGTTATCCTTGTAAAATATAGTTGGGTTATTATTGTAGCTTAAATGTTATGGACCCGACGAGGTATTTGCAAAGACTAGAGGTCCCGCAGTAGTAGAAATTCGACTATAATTGGAATTGTAAGTTCAAAACATTCTCGCTCACGACTCGGTCGTGCGCGGACGTGCTTTCCGATCCGTGGCCCGCTTGCGAGCCGCGTCTCTGAACTCACAGTTGTGCTCGACAGTGTAGTGACCGTGAATACATCGTGCGTACAATTCGGTAGTGCGGACGTGCCGATCCGTTGGTCGCTTGCGATCTGCGTATCGAGGTCCATTTTTGTGCGCTAAAGTTNACACAGCCCACTGAGTTTCTCGCCGGATCTTCTCAGTGGGTCGCGTTTCCGATCCGGTGGTAGATTCTGCGAAGCACTGCTCTTGCTAGGGTCAGTGTTAGCAACTCTCCGGTTGAGCCCCGCGAGCTCACCTACTAACGTTAGGGTGAAGCTGAAATAGCCTCTCAAGGCTATCAGCATAGGTAGGAAAAAAAAAAAAAATTGTAAGTTTGTACACTATTATGATTGTATTTTATACTTCTATAATCACAAATTTCGTCAAGGATACACTGTAAAAAATATTAATAAAGACAAACAATATTTAATCTATTCTCAATTTCACCACAGACGTCAAGAACAAAAGTTTGCCAATAAAATATAGTATGCATACGTGTGTGCGTCAAATACATGGTATGTAGTATGTGCAATGTTTTTTTTATTGATTTAATGTATCTTTTAAGCATTATTTAAAAAAAATATTAGCATTGTGCACTTCTTCTCTATATTCTCTATAAGTGTGGAAAATTTCATATTCCTCCGTCCGCGTAATTTTCGTAAAAAGGGATACAAAGTTTTTGCTTCACGTATTAATATATAGATTATTTATAGTTGGATACATGTCAAATTGATAGGAAATGTAAAATAATAAAGATTTGGGTTTGTCTGTTCAAAGGTAAGTATTTTTTTGGAACTTACCAAATTAACAAACAAATTGATGACGAGTCCTCTCCTGCTTGGCGGCTCCAAGTAAATAAACAGACCATTCAATGTGAACGGTACAAAAAGGAACGTATTGAACTTGAACTTATTGCCGTTTAGTTTCCTAAAAAATACCCATAAATATTAAAGGCATAATGCTGATGGATTCTACGTATTATTTACAATGGCTTTGTACAGTAACCATCAATGTAGACCGAATGGTAAACAGTCGACGTCGCCCAAAACACGTTATTACAGATCCTCCCGATCCATTAACGGTGCTTTTAGGTACCACAAGCACCGGTCACCGTCTTCGTCGAACCCGTCGCATGCGACGAAGGGCTCGACAAGCGAATTAGCCCACAGACACAGCCCACTGAGTTTCTCGCTGGATCTTCTCAGTGGGTCGCATTTCCGATCCGGTGGTAGATTCTGCGAAGCACAGCTCTTGCTAGGGCCGGTGTTAGCAACACTCCGGTTTGAGCCCCGTGAGCTCACCTACACGTTAAGGTGAAGCTGAAATAGCCTCTCAAGGCAAGGCAAGTATAAGTTGGGAAAAAAAACAAAGTTTTGGTAAAGCAAATTAAAAAGTACACGTCAAAAACTACGCAGGCAGACCGAGCGCTACAACTAGCAGCAATTTTGTATGACATTTTTTTCGAAGTGGTCACAATTACCAAAGGGAGATTAAAATAATAATAAAACATGAGACCTTAGAACTTATATCTCAAGGTGGGTGGCGCATTTACATTGTAGATGTCTATGGGCTCCAGTAACCACTTAACACCAGGTGGGCTGTGAGCTCGTCCACTCATCTAAGCAATAAAAAAATAATAATTAAGAAATGGGAAGAATTTACGCACGGTCATCCAACCCCCCAAATTAGGATTCCTTGTGTTATGGATACCAGAAACTGACATAGGTACCTATTTAGATAATAAACACCCAGACAAAGAACAAAAAAAAACCCTTCATTACACGAATGTTTGCCCCGTGTGGGAATCGAACCTACGACCCTCAGCGCAATAGTCAGAGGCTCTATCTACTGCACGACTTAGTCAGATTGTGCTTTAACTTCAAGGGGGATTTCTGATTTCTATGCTTACTATGGACTTTTATGTAGCTTTCCGGCTAAGTGCATACGATGCTGATGTATTAACACACCTTACCTGACGATACATCCGATGATGGATGCGGTTCCGGAAACGAACTGTCCGAAAAGAATCGACCTTATGTAGTAGTTACCCATTTTGAGCCATTGTTCTTTCTTTCTCATTTTCTTACCACGCATTAGTATTTGTATCTGAGATAAAAAGTGTTTTATTGCATAAATCTGGTATTAAACTAAAGTCCATGGACATCATGACTTGAATGTGGTCATCCGCCGTGAGACGCAATTGAGTCTCAATTATAGAACGTCTGTTCCGTTTTGTTATTCGGAACGCTGAAGTTATCGCGGCTTAAATAGGCAGGGTGGTGGTACTTATCCGTGCGTGCTTACAATACCAGATCAGATTAGATTTATGTGTTGAATAAAATAGTTATGCTGTCTGATATGTTATGTAGTTGTTCGCAGAAGATTTCGTTATGATATTGGCCTGGACTATATTTTAAGACACAATTTTTTTATTGCTTTAATGGGTTGAGGTCATAGTCCACCTAGTGTTAAGTGGTCACCGGAGCCCGTAAACGTCTACAATGTAAACGCTACCAACCACCTTGAGACAAGGGTTCTAAGGTCTCAGTTTTTAAAGTACAGCGGCTGCCCTACCCTTCAAACCGAAACGCATTACTGCTTCACAGGAGAAATAGGCAGGGCGCTGGTACAAGGTACTTTGTTCGTGCAAGTTGTAGACATAATCAAAACTATTATTACGGCTTAATCTTGTGTTTGTTAAAATAATTATTGTCCTCATATCATTTCCAAATGTTTCGAATTTTTTGTGTCGTGCTCACGAATGATTTAAGTAAAAAGAAATAAGAATTAAAATTAAGAATTAAGAAGAAGAATTAAGAATTGGAATTCAGATTGAAAAAATTAATTTAAGTGAAAAAAAAAAGAAATTAAGCCCTAAAACGAGTTTCAATTATAGTGAATATGCTTAAATAATAGTAAAAAAAATCTTACCAAGTATACCATAGAATAGAATTTTACGCTGCCGATTAGAGAATCCTTGAATAAAACCGGCAACGATGTGATGCAGCCTTTGCCCCACGGATGAAGAAGATAATGGCAGTCAACATCCGTGTAGATTTTCTCGAACAGCTCCTTGCTCATTTGAACCATATCTAGTGGAGATAAGGGTGGCTTTAGTCTGACCTGTGAAATACCATATCACCTTTTTAACTTAACGAGACGTCATTTTGAATAAAACTTTTTATTTTATTTAAAATAATGTTGTGACTATATAGTAATAAGTATGTATGTTCATATATGTAGCATTGTGTTTTTTTTATTTTATTGCTTAGATGGGTGGACGAGCTCACAGCCCACCTGGTGTTAAGTAGACTAGTAATAGACAACTACAACGTAAATGCGCCACCCGCCTTGAGATATAAGTTCTAAGGTCTCAATAAAGTTCCAACGGCTGCCCTACCCTTCGAACCGAAACGCATTACTGTTTCATGGCAGAAATAGGCAGGGTGGTGGTACCTACCCGTGCGGACTCACAAGAGGTCCTACCACCAGTATAGTTGTGTGGCTTATATACGTTTTTTTTTTTTTTTTTTTTTTTTTTTTTT